TTCCATGATTTTATCGCAATTTTCGACGACAGGCCTCCGGGCGTGGTGCATCTTTGACATCGAAATTACCGGAACGGAACCTAGCAAACCACTTTTGTGCTACACGTTCGTTTACAGTATCGGGCGCATAAACTAAATTAATTTTTTCAGCCGCTTTGGCTGATTTTTCGCCTTGATCGAAGTAAAATTGTAAAAAATAGGTGTCCATCTTTGACGAGCGCTTACAACGTACTGAGTCAATAAATCGAAAAACTGTCAAAGACAAACTTTTAGCGCGTATAAACACGTTTTCAGCGCCGTATAGTATGACATGATGTGACACGTAACACTAGTACTATGGACAATAACGCCATCTCTTAGATAAAAAACGAACGAACTTTTTACTCCACCTAATATAATAGTAATATAAATATAAATTATTATTTTATTGAGGCATTTTAAAAGTCTGCTTATAGCCATCATTTTCGTTAGTTTTAGAGTTCCAATTTAATATAATCATTTCCGGAGATTCCAAAATATTTACTTGAAGAACGAACTTGACGAAAATTTAAAAGTTACTAATCCGAAGTCGACTTACACATATCAAACAGAACACAAGATATTGTTTATTCATAGATATTATTATTAATGGAAAGGTCCGCAAACTTCTGTTAAAGTTTCCCAAAAAATATGAAGAAATCTTTTAAAATATGAATTTAGATTAGGATCACAGGGATCCCACTTGGATAGTTGGAGCACCAGTCTTTATACCCTGAATAAGGTATATTAAGTTTACCACGACGAGCTGAGTCGACTTAGCCATGTCCGTCTGGTTGTCCGTCTATCTGTATATACGTGAACTAGTCTCTCTATGTTTTGCTTATTTGTCAAAACTAGAAATCAAGTTCTTGTAAGAATACTTGAACCTGTGAAGTGTATTATGGCTTCGATGCATCTTTTCTTGTTTTAGCTTATCATAAATCGACCCTTCCTTCTTAACCCATGCACGAGTTCACGCACTTATTGATGCTGACAGTTTTTTGTGGTCACAACACAATATATATTTGTCGGAACCGCCCATATGGTACCATTATAGAATATAACAACCGTACAAGCTGAACTATCGGAATAAAGTGCTTGTATGGAAAGCTTTTTCATTTGACGAGATGTTCAGACCGAATCACTATAGCATATAGCTGACCGATCAAAATCAAGTTCTTGTAAGGAATCGCTTGTATTTGTGAAGGGTATTATATTATAACTTTAGTGCAACCGAAGTTGACGCTTTTTCTTATTTTTTCTTCTTTTTAACATTTGATTATAGGATTCTTGGCAGACATTAGTTAGTAGCGTAATTTTGGTATCTTTTCAGACCCTTTATTGGTAATATTCTCTCCGTTTGTTGGTTAATATGTGGTGGTTATTGAGGATATGCACTTGAGAGTAAGTGCTGCATATTCCTTAATTATTTACATATAGTTGCTGCAGCTCCAATTGTGGCTGCTGTTTATGTTTACTTTGAGCGATGCACTGGTTGTACATTGTAGGCAAATTGCTACCATTTTTATACTCTCGCAACCTGTTGCTACAGTGTATAATAGTTTTGTTCACCTAACGGTTGTTTATATCACCTAAAACTTATCGAGTTAGATATAGGGTTATATATATATAAATGATCAGGATGAAGAGACGAGTAAAAATCCGGGTGACTGTCTGTCCGTCCGTCCGTCCGTCCGTGCAAGCTCTAACTTGAGTAAAAATTGAGATATCTTTATGAAACTTGGTAGACATGTTTCTTGGTACCGTGAGACGGTTGGTATTGCAGATGGGCGTAATCGGACCACTGCCACGCCCACAAAACGCCATAAATCAAAAACAAATAAATTGCCATAACTAAGCTCCGCAATAACATACAAGACTTTTATTTGGTACATTTTTTTTTTAAAGTGGGCGTGGTCCCGCCTCTAATAGGTTTAATGTGCATATCTCCTAAACCGCTAATGCTATAATAACAAAATTCACTGGAACAAAATTTTTTTAGCACTTCTATTGACGGTGTGAAAATAGTTGAAATCGGGTGGCAACTCCGCCCACTCCCCATATAACGGTACTGTTAAAAACTACTAAAAGCGCGATAAATCAAGCACTAAGCACGCCAGAGACATTAAATTTCACCTCTGGGATGGTATAAGATGACTTTATAGGAACCGCGTTCAAAATTAGACAGTGGGCGTGGCACAGCCCACTTTTAGGTGAAAACCCATATCTTGAGATCTGCTTAACCGATTTCAACCAAATTCGGTGCATAACGTTCTTTTCATGTTTCTATATCATAATGCGAAAATGGGTGAAATCGGACTACAACCACGCTTACTTCCCATGTAACACCATTTTCAATTCCACCTGATTCTTTCACTTTCCACTATGCAAATCAGGCAACAATGACTGTATCGGGATAAAACTTTGCGTGAATAATGCGATTAAAGTATGCCATCTTGTGGCCAAAAATTGTCTAAATCGAACCAAAACTCTTTAAGCCCCTAAGTACTAAATACGTGGACCCCAGTGCCTATAGTTGACCTTCTACCGAAAATATCAGTCAATCCACAAAGAAATCTCAAACGAGTATACTATTAGACTTTGCGAGAGTATAAAATGTTCGGTTACATCCGAACTTAGCCCTTCCTTACTTGTTTTCATATATTTTTCAAAAGGTTAAGAAAAATTTTATATTTGTCGGTTAGTGAGCGAATTTTTGAAAGATAATCCGGTGAAACATGACTATTTACTCGACAGTCAGCCTACGAACAGCTATCGTTTCAGCAAAAAATTTAATTTTCCAGCAAAAATTTACCACAAGTTTACGTTGATTAGACAGTCGAGAAATTGGAAACTGTTCCGTTCTCAGATAAATCGTCGGAAAATATTATATAATTGGCTACGTGTCATGAAGGAAGAACGGAACGCCGCAGCAAAATCATTTGTATTTTTTCACGTCAACGAATACAGCCAATTTACATAATAATCATACGTCTTACTTAAGTCATAATGCCATTGAGATGGAAGTATAATATCTAAGCTATCGGAAATATATAAGATCTAGTAAAAAGAAATCCATTATTTTTGGAATAGATGGCTTTTGTAATCTGTATCTTGTGCTGTATAAGTGTGATCGGGTTACGCTATGTGGCGCTAGAGTGATAAGATAACGACAACTGCTATCTTGTACAAATATCGATAAAAATAACGATACATTAATAAAAAGCCTAAACATTGCACAAATAAACGATTGGAACCATTAAAATAAGACTGGAGACAAAAAAAACTCAATATATGGGTGCCACACGCGTTAGCGCAAACAAATCTTATGGCCGAAAAAAATCGATCCATTTCTGATACGGATACGTAGATAACTTACGACAACATTAAGTGAAAAAGGTCATGGTTGAATTGCGGTGAGCCATCGCAAAAGCTGCCCGAGGCAAGATTGACAGTCAGGAAGCTTTTAATTCGGACCAGCTTTAGACAGTAATAGTGGAACTGTGTGCCATCAGCACAACGCCAGGTCGCATACATCAATAGTGACTCGCCAAAAGCTGCTGGAGGTTGGTTGGTTGGGAGGTTCTTATGCATCACCTTATAGACTGAAAATCGACTATCTCAACTTTTCGCTAAGGGAAATATAAAGCTGTGTATGTATTTGTAGTAAATAATAACATACGATACTCGAAAGTGCATTATATACTCATGCATTCATATGCCTTAACTGCTTGCTGTGCAACAACGTTCGCTGCAAATAAAAGCGTCATGAATAGCAACGACGCTATCGATTGTTGCACCAACCAACACCTAAAACGCGCAGCTTAATATCAATAAATACATATAATAATGCATGTGTTGAAATGTAAATCACTATGTACGTACATATACTTAGATCGAGCAAGCGATCGGCACAACAATAGCCGATATAGTAAAGTTAAACCGTCCAACAATTGCTAGTGCCGTAATCAGCGAAATTATCTCATTGCAGCGGAAATTGTGCAATTAAAGTGCAACTTTTAGATTCCTTTTCCTACAAGCAAGATTTTAGTACATACAGATGTATGTGCTGCATATTATAAAATTTTAGTTTAACAATTTGTATTCGTTTTAGTTGTATTTCAATATTGATTTTTATTGGTAGTAAATTTATAAAGTAATACTAGTAGATCCGTGGCTTTGAAAAAGTATTATTCTAATAAAAAATTTTCCGCTCTACATAGAGGTCTTCATGCTTTCCTTCATAAAAACATTTCGTAAAAAGTTATCGGCAATAAAAGTCATACATCAAATGACCTGAGCATTCATACAAGTTATATATACATTCTGTGGTGCTCATACGACATGGTGTACTTTGTGACTATAGTATATTTGATGCATAATAAAATTTTATATTGCAATATCATTCGGAGATAAAAAATTAATTGCAAAAGATTAACAAATCCCACATTAAATGTATTTCACATATAATTAAGGCACGGTTTATATTGAAAATAAAGATAATAAATATAAAATAATTAGTTAGCTAACGATTTTATAACGATTATATTATTGTCAAAGTTTCCAAGTGACGTTATCTCTGATATTTTTGATTACCCTGGAGAAAAGTTAATTTCGTGTTTTGATAAAACATTGTTTCCTGATTGGAAAAACATCGTTGATGCAGTGGTTTGGTAAGTATTTCAGCAATCGATATGTACGTCGAAGTTTACCTAAACCCATATTTTCATTTGCAAACACGTTGTTCCATTGTTAGTCTAACGACTTTGAGCCCATGAAGTATACATACTTGTACATAAAGCTTCTTTAACATACTACCAGAGATTCACATATTTAATCTTGGGTGTATACTCTTCCTTTGCCTGTTATCTATGTCCCTATCTGTATCCTTTAACCCTTTATGTGTGATTCAGAGTTTCATTTCTTTAAGTTAATTTATGAAATGATTTATTTAAATCGAAAATATTTTCTTTCATTTTTAGGAATCGGGAAAAAATTGCAATAATACGGTATGTGATTGTAAGGGATTGAAGGGACGTTCGGGTACTATCGGTCTGAAGGGCTATCCTGGTATTGAAGGTCCACCCGGAGATGTTGGTCCAATTGGACCGTTTGGTCGACGTGGTGAATATGGTGATCCAGGCGAATATGGCGAACAAGGCGAAAAAGGCCACCGAGTAAGATATTCATTTGTTCAATATATCTATAATATCATTTTGAACATTATTATATTTTAGGGTGACATGGGTGAATTAGGTTTACCTGGTCGACATGGTATAACGGTGAGTACTACTTGAACCTGACATTCATTCCTAAAAGGGAGCGTAAAGTGTAAACGCTGTACACATTTCTAGGGTACCACTCATAAAGCTTGAATTTAGAAACGAAAGTTATATTCTATTATTTCTAATTTTTTTTTAAATATATTCCGAGTAAATTATACCATTTATATGTAGGGTCCCGCTGGTGAAGACGGTCCTAAAGGCATCTCCGGTATCGATGGCTGTGACGGTAAATCTGGTCAGCAAGGTTTACCTGGTTCACCGGGCCTAAATGGTCAGCGTGGTCCAATAGGTAAACCCGGCCCACCAGGACCTACAGGTGATGCAGGGGAAGGTGGTATCAATTCGAAAGGTACCAAAGGTAATCGAGGTGTCCAAGGTCCTGATGGTGTAGACGGTCAACCTGGATATATCGGCATGAAAGGTTACAAAGGTGATATTGGCTATCCTGGCATAGAGGGTTCAAAAGGTGAACTAGGTCTTAAAGGTTATAAGGGGGATATGGCAGAACCCGCGAATTTACAGCTTTTCGGTGAGGGTCAGCTCGGCGAAAAAGGTGAACCCGGAGATGGTGAAGAATCTCCACTAATTATTGGTGTAGCAATAAAAGGCTACAAGGGTGACCAAGGCTTTTTTGGATTGACGGGTATCGTTGGTGCGCCTGGTGAAACTGGCGAATTGGGCAATACTGGTTTACCTGGCCCTCGTGGTGATACTGGCGAACCGGGTGAACGTGGAAAACCTGGTAAAGCAGGTGAAGCTGGTTTTTCTGGTGACAAAGGTGCTAAAGGTGCCCCAGGCTATAACGGCCTCGATGGTGAAGATGGTTTGAACGGAGAAGTTGGTGATGACGGTTTCGATGGCTTTCCCGGTGAACAAGGTCCTACTGGTCCCCCTGGTATTTATGATCCCAATTTGGATAAATCTTTTCCGGGACCACAAGGCCCTCAGGGTGATATCGGTCCACTGGGTAATCCAGGCCTTCCAGGAATACCTGGAAAGCAGGGTCGTCGAGGTCCATTTGGTCCTCCAGGTCCCCCCGGTGATAGAGGTTTAGATGGTTCACCTGGTCGTCGTGGTGTAAGTGTTAAAGGAGATGACGGTGATTACGGTTATATGGGATCCCCTGGACCTATGGGGCCTCCTGGTAATCCTGGTCTTACAGGACGCCCTGGTCAAATAGGACAACCCGGGTTAAACTTGATAGGACCTAAAGGTTTCGCCGGAAGGTTAGGTGTACCCGCTACAAATGGTTTCCGCGGAGATCGTGGTGAAGTTGGATTGCCTGGCGATAAAGGTGGACCAGGTGATGGTGTCAATATTGTTGGTCCTCCTGGTTTTGAAGGCCCGCCTGGTAAACGTGGCCCGCCGGGTGTCGATGGTAATCCTGGGTGGCCAGGTGAGCTCGGTGCTAAAGGTATTCGTGGTGACGATTGCGGTATATGTCCAGCTGGCCCCAAAGGCACGAAAGGAATACCGGGTGATACAGGGTACCCTGGTGTACATGGTGCACGTGGTCCCATAGGCTTAACAGGTGAGCGTGGACCGAAAGGTTGGCCTGGTAATCCCGGACCAATAGGTCGAAGAGGAATTGCCGGTCCTCCTGGAGCCAGTGGTGGTATGGGTCGTCCTGGACCTCCTGGTCGTCCTGGTTCTCGAAATCCAATTAATAATATCGAGAAACCAGAAATAGGAGATGTTGGCGAAGCCGGTGAACGTGGTGAACAAGGTGTAACTGGTGATATCGGTTTCGATGGTAGACCTGGTATACGTGGGGCCAAAGGGGAAACTGGACTACGAGGAGATTACGGTGATATGGGACGTCCAGGCAGAGACGGTTTGCCAGGAAGATCGGGTCGTGATGGTAAACGTGGTCTTGACGCTTCTATGCCTAAATTTTATTTGATCGGCGAATCTGGACGAGATGGTCGCATGTAAGCTATCTTAATAACTGACATTCTTTAATAATACAATTCTAAGTGATAATTTCTATTTTTTAGAGGAGAACGTGGCGAACCAGGCAGTGAGGGACCAAAAGGTGACAAAGGTGAACCAAATCCCGGCCAAATATACGATAACAAAGGTGAAGTTGGTGATGTGGGTTTAATTGGTTTGGTTGGTGATAAGGGATTTAAGGCCTCAAAAGGCCAAAAAGGAATATATGGATTAACAGGAGATATTGGCTTGACCGGCCTTACAATTCAAGGTGAAGTAGGTGCAAAAGGATGGCCTGGCTCTATTGGAGATTATGGAGCACATGGGACTCCTGGAAATGCTGGTCAGAATGGTTTTCCTGGTCTTGATGGCAGAGTTGGCCTTAAAGGCTACCGTGGTGATCCTGGACGTAGTGTATTACCTGGCGAAATCGGACCCGATGGATATCCAGGTATTAAAGGAGAACAGGGAGACATCGGATGGCCTGGTAGTCATGGGCCCGCTGGTACGCCGGGTATTCAGGGTGTAAAAGGTGCGAAAGGAGATTTCGGTGAATGGGGCATACAAGGTTTGCCTGGTAATAAAGGTCCTCGTGGTGACTACTTGGTTGGTTATCCTGGTCGCGAAGGAGCTCCAGGTAGAGATGGAAGAACTGCTCCTCATGGAAGAAAAGGTGAAAAGGGTGTAACGGGTTCACTGGGATCTATAGGAGTACAAGGTGCTAAAGGTAGCATTGGATACCCAGGACTACGAGGTCGCTTGGGTGACCAAGGAAGACCTGGAGAACCTGGACAAACTGGAAGCCCAGGTTGGGCTGGAATCCCTGGCGAACCAGGAGATCGTGGTGATATAGGCTTTGACGGTAGAAACGGTGATAGAGGACCACGTGGTGCACTTGGAAACATGGGGCCGAAAGGTAATTACAATTCTTTCACAAGTAGCAATATAAAATTATATCTTATCCATTTTCAGGTCAATCTGGTGATGTTGGCCCGATCGGACGCCCTGGAGCTCCTGGAATTCCAGGCAAACGAGGTGCTGTAGGTAATCGCGGTATCCCTGGACGTAGTGGCCCTAAGGGTAATGCAGCATACAGTGGCATTAAAGGAGAAATGGGCGATTCAGGTATAAAGGGACTACCAGGACTTGATGGGATTCCCGGTGCTCCGGGAGAACGAGGTCCTGTTGGCGACTCCCCAAGTGCATTAAATGGCTTACCAGGACTAAAAGGAGATGCAGGCATTCCTGGACGTTACGGTTTGAATGGCTTAAAGGGACAAAAAGGTGAGCAAGGAGAATTCGGGTTAATGGGACGTGTTGGAGAGCAGGGTGATAGGGGAGATGTTGGATTAGCCGGATATCGTGGTCGCGATGGTCTACCTGGAAGAAAAGGTGTAATTGGAGCTGTTGGAATGACTGGTTTCGTTGGTGCCAAAGGTGATTCTGGTGATGCAGGTTACCCCGGCTTACCTGGTTTGGTTGGCGATAGGGGTGATGTCGGTGATGCCGGATCTATAGGAATTCAAGGTGAGCGGGGAGATGAAGGCTACCCGGGACGACCTGGTGTACTGCTACGTGGATTCGCAGAAAGAGGTGATAAGGGTGAACAAGGCTTTCAAGGCGCGCCAGGACCTATTGGTGTATATGGTCCTGATGGAGCCCCTGGTTATCCAGGCCCCAAAGGAGAACGTGGTGACATTGGCTTAAGTGGAGCTGCTGGTTTGGATGGATATTTTGGTGCCAAAGGAGAAATGGGAGATAAAGGTTATCCTGGAGCAACTGGTCCAATCGCTTCATTCATCGAAAAAGGTGACGAAGGTGAGCCCGGTTATGATGGTTTCCCCGGACGTCCAGGCCGTTTGGGCCCAAAGGGAGCACCTGGCGAGCAAGGCGATTATGGTGCAAATGGATTAATTGGTATGCCAGGCATTTCTATAGTTGGGCCGAAAGGTCAAACTGGAGATGTTGGTTATCCTGGCCCATCAGGTCGTAATGGTTTGCATGGCAGGACTGGCCTTAAAGGAGAACGGGGTGATGATGGCAATCAAGGTGAACGTGGAGAAATTGGCTTTGCTATTCGTGGCAAAAATGGTGACGTGGGTGATATCGGGCTAATAGGAGAAAGCGGTAACGATGGGCTTAAGGGTGAGCAAGGTGATCAGGGATACCAAGGACGTCCTGGACCGTTCGGTTTGTTAGGGCCTCGTGGACCACAAGGTGATGCCGGTTGGAGTGGTGTTGATGGCTTGAATGGTCTTGGGGGTATCAAAGGTGAAGCAGGAGTTACATATGATTTTAACTTTGCGCGTCCTGGTGATCGGGGAGAACGAGGACTTGATGGCTTCAAAGGTCAAATGGGTGACATCGGTGAAATCGGTGAAACTGGAAGCATAGGTCGTCGCGGCCTAAAAGGTTATCAAGGCGATCAAGGATTCATGGGTTCTATAGGTCTGGATGGTCCAAAAGGTGAGCAAGGAATGCCCGGTTTGGAAGGTCCTCCTGGTCTTACCGGACTACCTGGCTCTCAAGGACCAGTTGGTGCACCTGCCCCACCAGCACCATTACCAAAGAGTCGCGGTTTTGTATTTACTCGCCACTCACAATCAGTATCCATACCAGAATGCCCGATCAATACAAATTTGTTATGGGAAGGTTACTCTCTTGCTGGAAATATTGGCAGCAGTATGGCCATTGGACAAGATCTAGGGCTATCTGGTTCCTGTATGATGCGTTTCACAACAATGCCTTATATGTTCTGTGATGTAAATAATGTATGCAATTATGCACAAAACAATGACGACAGCTTGTGGCTTTCCACTGCTGAACCAATGCCAATGAACATGGCACCGATTCAATCTTTCGATCTGATGAAATTCATATCACGGTTAGTATAATTACTTACAATATTGGGTATATTTTTACTCCTTTAATTACACATTTAATTTATTATTTTTGTTAATAGTTGTGTAGTCTGCGAAACGACAACGCGAATCATTGCACTACACAGTCAGAGCATGAGCATACCAGACTGTCCGAATGGCTGGGAAGAAATGTGGACCGGTTACAGTTATTTGATGGTATGGAAATGCTATTCAAGAAAATATATGATTTTCCAAGAATTATTTCTATTCTATTCACATAAATAGACTACAACTGATAACACTGGTGGTATTGGGCAGAGTTTGGTATCGCCCGGTTCATGTCTGGAAAACTTCCGCACCAATCCAGTTATTGAATGCCATGGACATGGTCGCTGCAACTATTATGATCCCCTGGCTTCTTTCTGGTTGGCGGTAATTGAAGAGCACGAACAGTGGTTACAACCAAGGCAACAGACTTTGAAAGCGGACCAAACAAGCAAAGTAAGCCGGTAAGTATCCGTAATTGCAATGATATGCAAAATATGTGAATATTCAAATGCTTTGATAATTTTACAGTTGTACCGTTTGTCGTCGCAAGAACGAGTCTTACCTTCGACGTGCTTCGTCTGTGAGCGCTTCTGCAAATGAGTTCCGTCGTGGTCCTATTCGTTACGCGCCAGACTCACGCATTGCAGAACCATCGCCCATTCGTAATAGGCCAGCGCCTTACCGACCGGTAGGCCGACGTCCGATACCAGGCGGTCGCCCCAGCTATTATGTCGGCTCAACAATAGATCGTAATCGCGCAAGTCGCATACGGCGTCCACGCGAAGACACATACGCACCGTAAAGCTGTAATTAGCCGAGCTGACTGTCTCTTATAAAGCAAAATAGTTAGAAGCTTACTTTTTAATTAAAACAAAAAATTTCATAAAATAAATACTAAATAAAATAACAAGAATCAGAACTTGAGTATATAAATAATAAAAATATGTATGTAACATTTACGAATAAATTTTAGGTTATGTGAGAAATGCCTTTCAGTGCCATTGTGACAAAACAGGAAACTTTTGTAAAATCTTTCTACGTCCTCCTCTTAATATATTATATGTATTATCATTTTATACACATGAACATTTTGAAAAAAGTTCTGACGGTTCTGTCAAGCGCATACTCTTGTTTGTAAATACGCGTATACGGCAGTAATATCAGATTACTAAAGTCGGGTTGAAGAGCTTACAACACTTTAAAAAATAGTTATGAAAATAATTATAAGGAATGAAAAAAATTCAATTTCACACACCAAATACTGCCGAGCATGCGTTAATATATTTTTTATAGAAAATATATTAAAATTGTTTAATTATAGTTTTTTGCAAATAAAACCAAATACAAGCCAAAATAATGTAACTTAACTATTTTACTATATAAATACATGAATGTAAATAATAGTAAATATGAAAAAATAAAAAAAAAAAACAATATATTTTGTGAACCGACGTGTTTAATGTCTTTTTAAGCGGTTATGTTTATGTGCATATGTGGGTAACAGAACGACAAAATTAATAGGTTTTCTGAACTTTCAATTCAGGCCTGTCGTATCATTTAAGAAAAACACCTTTTGTTCGGCAAAATTTGTATACCTAGAACTGGGTATACTAAGCTTGTAACGCGCCACGAAGTTTGTTACGCCCAGAAGGAAACGTCGGAGACCCCATTAAATATGCATATATGCATAAATGATCACCGCGACGACCTACATTGATTTAGCCATGTCTGTCTGTATATACGCAAACTAGTTCCAGTTTTTGAGATATCAATCTGATTCCGATTTTGCCAAGAAGCTGCTAATTTGTCGGAACCACTAATATCGAACCACTATATCATATAGCTGCCATACGTTACGACGGGCGTAATGAATCCGTTTCCATAACAGTCGGGTCTACGTAACCGGAACGGACCCGGATTTTTTCCGGCCAAGGACTGTCAACTCGACAAAATTCTGCCGCTACAACGGGCGTAATGAATGCTTATTATACACAAATACACACACATGCTCATATGTATGAATAAGTAAGTATGTATGCATTATGCTCATACATTTAAATTACTTGTTTATGCTGAAATACTATTTAACAAATAAGTTTTTTTTTATTTATAGTTTATTTAAATAGGTATTTGCAAATTTTGTTGACACTTCACAACGGCCAAAAATCTGGATATATCAAATTAACTGCAGAATGACAAGTACATTGTTGAACTTAAAAGCAAACATATAGACATCTAAACTTAAATTAAACCAACTCGTTTTGGGTATGACTTCAATGTAAATATTTGCTTATGGTATTTAACAATCCCCCACCAGTCAATACTAATTTACCAACAGCTCTATTTTTATAAATTCTGCAAAACTAACTTAAACTCTTCGCACAATCAAATCTAAATATAGAAACATACTTAAAATACTCCATTTTCGGTTTCCTAGTTACTCACAAAGTTGAGCTAAGTTCGTATGTGTTGCGTGGAGGCATGGTCTAATTATTATTTAACAAAGTCTGGATTCTCTTGAATTGTTTCTGTGAATTGTAGTTGATTGTCTATAATCTGAAAGAGTTCTTGAGGCGCAGGGATACGTCCTGTCTGCAATTTAGACCATACCGGCACATCATTGAGGGAGATTTCGAATGCTCCAGATGCCACAAGCTGTAAAAAAGTAGAAAAAAACATTGAAAATATCTTAAATATAATTATACAACTTTATAATTTATGCTTACCTGTCCCTCAAGCATATTCCCTACGAAAAATACCATCATGCAGGCGTACAATTTATTATCAAGTAAATGCTGCCACCAGCTCGGTATTTGTTGGCCAAATACACCGAAAACATCAAACGATGAAACAATCACTACGATGAAGAGGATTTTTGCCGCAAATATAATTCGCGAAAGGTACATGTTGAAGCCGGGCGGATCATAATTGCCACCGGTTACCGTAATTTGCGGATACCTTTCTGACAAAATGTTAACATAATCCTCAAAAGCTTTGCGATAACCACACGAGTAACTAAAATATAAAATAGCCATGCACGTTATACATTCATTTAATGTATCTTATCAAGAACAAAGGTATCTTAAGGTTAGGATATTTTATATATTACCAATATAAAAATGTCATTGTGGGGCCTCCAACATTTTGTCCAAATTTTGTTGCGGGTATCTCTTTTTCTGCTGCATCTACGCCAAAGTTTATATTCCCCACCAAGATTAAACCAACAATGATGCAAACTCCTAACGTTATATTTTTTCCAATGACCATTGCCATCTTACTATAAATTAACTATTATTTCTCTTCCAATTAATTTTGCACCTTCGTCACTTTTGGTTGTAATTGGGGATGTTGAAATATATAATCTCGATATATCAGCAACGAGTATTAGTTTCTGATATCGAAAAAAAATTATCGACTTTTTTGAGACATATTCGACTGTTTTCAAAAACTCTTTGCTACTCCACCACATTTGTAGTGTGACTTAAATATTCAAAGCATTTTACTGTCAAATCCAAAGAAATAGTAGAACGGAATGGTCGTTATCACCATTTATATATTTTTGCTCGCAAGTTCAACATGATACTAAGTTATTCGTCACAATTCATAGGCACATTAATTCCCAATATAAATATGAAAAACAATTAATGAATATGGTTTAACATCATAATCACTTATTAAAACATGTGATTAAAACGTCAAAATTAGTTAAAAATATGATTCATGTATTAGAGATAAATCAATTTTGCCAATTTCCATGTTATAAACCAAAGCAGGCGATCACTGTGACGTCCGTTTCCATAACAGCCGGGTCTATGTAATTGGAACGGACCCGGATTTTTTCCGGCCAAGGAGTGTCAACTCGACAAAATTCTGCCGCTACAACAACAACAATCACTGTGACGTCATCATGACCTATAATATATATCAGTCCGGACTTCACTCCTGTTTCGTTCTAACAGCTACCAACTTAGAATGTATTCTTTTGATATATATTATTCTATATATAATCACCTAATAATCCGTTAAAAGTTCACCCCTTAATCGTAGTATTTGTACTTTTCTTGTTTTCCATATAAAAAATCGGTATAGTTTCTGATAATATCTGACTTCCCTCAACCAAATGCATCTTGCATAAATATTTATTTTAATTTAGCACCCACAAAAGCGCAAGTATACATCTCTTTATTTCAATTTAAGAAATTACATTTTTGCTCAATTACTTAATTAAAAACTAAACGATTATATTATTTTATAAAGTAAGAAAACTCAAAAATCCACACACGCCATATAAAAAATAGATCTAAAACTGATTTGCATAGACTTTTGTAATATGAGGAAGATTATTTCAAATTATGAAAAAAGCATAAGAGAAACATTATCTCTTGTATATTTAATTATATATATATATACGTGTATTATGTTTTAATATTGAGGAGGACGTGGAAATGTGTCGTTTTTTATTGGTGCAACTCTTTAAACGCTTTCAATTCTACGCGTACATACGTTAACTTCTGTCAGTTAGATTTCAGTTTTTATTTCGCTTTTTCGTAATTCTGTTGTGGAACTTATTGTTTAATGAATTTGAACGATTCCCGCTTCAATCAGCTTCATTATTTTATCGGCTATCGCCGGGTTTTGGAGATGTCTAAAAATACAAAACATGTAATATAAACGGAATAAAAAATTTATAAAGTAACTTTGATAACTTACTCTTTAGCCGCTTTCGGGTCAGTTTGCATTTGATCCAAAATTACGCGCATTGCGGGATCCTTTAGAATTTGTTGTACCTCTGGGTCTCCCAAAGCGTTCTTCATCACATCCTCAGGACTTCGTTGATATGAAATCGAACACTGGCGGTAACCCTCGAGTGCTTCAGCGTTTTGAGGATCAATTTCTAAGGCTTTGAGGTAAGCTGCCGAAGCTTTTGACGATTTTTGCATACCCTATGGGATTTTTAAAAATATTATAAAAATTATAATAACTGCATAGATTTTTTCATCGAGTCAATGGCCACAAACCTGTAAAATTTTGCCCTTTCGAATGTAACCTTTGATAAACTTGTCATCCAGCTTTATGCAAGTTTCACAATCCTTCAGTCCCAAATCAAAAGCAGCCAACTTCGTGTAACAAGCGGCACGATTGCTGTATAGTTTCGGATCGTCGGGATTACGTTTGATTGCTTCCGAGTAATGTTTTACAGCATTACTATAGTCACCCTTTTTGAAGAATTCATTGCCCTTTTCTTTTTCAACCTCAGCTAGTTCAGGATTAATATAAGCGCGCCTTTCTTCCTCTTTAATTTTAGCTTCCACTTCACTGAGCGATGTCTTAATTTCAGGGGTACGATGTTCAGACATGGCCTTTTCGAAATACACTTTCGCCTGCTTGTAATCCTGCATTTTACGGTACGAATTACCAATACGCGCCAGCGCTTTAGCAATTAATTTGAAATCCGCACGATTTTCTCGACCAATTTCAATACCCTTTTCGCATTCTTTTATGCACTCGTCGTATTGTTTGCGTTCAAAATAAACGGCGGCTATGTTATTGTAAAAGGTTATATCTGTAGGATCTTGCTCCAAAGCGGCTTGGTAATGTTTCAGTGCTGTTTCAAAATCTTTCTTTTTGTAAGCAGCATTACCAGCCTCCTTCTCTTTTCTTGCAAAATACTTTTTGCGTTCTTCTTCATTCATGTCATCAACATTCGGCTCTGCAGGTTTGGGAGGTTCAGCTTGCTTAGGCTCAGGAGCTTTGGGTGGCGGTGACTGTGGGTCTACGTCCATGGGTGTTGGAAAACGCCCGGACATCGCCTGTAGTACAGTGGCAGTGACTTCTTGAATACCTTGTTGCAATACGGCGTTTTGAGGGTCATGTTTTAAACCTAATACAAATATTTTGCATAAATTTTATTTTTTCTAGCACATACCGAATTAAACAAGAGCCGGCTGATGAATACCACATACTCACATACCCCCATTACATTATGATTCATTCTGGCACTTACCTTCCTCATATGCTTCCATAGCTGCTCGATAGTTTTTGAGACCTGCGGCTGCTGCTCCTTTACGTGAGTAACCTTTAGGCCATGTTGGGTTCAAGGCTATTGTTTTTTCAGCATCCTCTAAAGCTTTATCATATTTACAAGCCTTCGCATATGCAGCAGATCTGTTGCTGTACAAAACATGATTTTTATTATCTAAATTAATGGCTTCAGAGTACGCTGCAATAGCTTCGTCAAAATTGTCTGCATTAAGTGCACGATTTCCTTTTTCTTTAAGTTCATTCACCTAAAAATAATTATAAGAACAATTTTATGCAGAAATTCAATTACTATAATTTAGTCAATGGTAATTGTATTACCTTTTCCATTTCAGATATTACTAATTTCTACTTTATATCCTTCGCAACTCAATAACAGCACAAAAATATATATATTAATATATTCGTTTTATGCAATTTAGTATTTCACTTGAAAAACGTGCTGCTTTTAATTTCAAAGCCTTTTGTATTCTGCGAATATGAACTTGGGAGTATTCTAGAAGTTAAAAGAAACACACCGAAATTATAAATGGCAGTAAAAATTTTGTGCCAGTGTTGCAACTCTTTAACTACTTTTGGCTGTCAATTAAAAACCAGCCTCCGACATTTTCAATTTATAATTCTTATAATAATTATAATTATAATAATTATTAATATTTTTTTATACTAGAAATATATATTATAAAATGCAACTACATTGAATATGATATTATCGGATATACATAAACACATGTATCCTCATTTGCTTGATATATAAATCATATAAGATTTTTTAATTATTAGTTACTATTGTAATTATATAAAATAAGTGTTTCTGTATTATTGATATATTTATAACATTATTAGTAACAAAGTTTTGTTTTTAAATCGTACAGTAAAAGCAACGGTTTACTACCATATTTAATATTAGACAAGTGTGATTATTAGCAACTCTGCTTTGGAATCAGTATTACCAACATTATAATTCAAATCCGAAAAATTCACAAGCAATATTGACATTTGTCAAAAGCCGAAAAAGCGGCCATAAAAATTAAGTTTTATTTTTTGTTAAACATCATTTGCTGATTTTTAATAAACTGTGTAAGTTAAACAAAAAATATAATTTTTAGAAAGGGACTGATTAACGTTACAATTAGGTTCAATTATTGAAACGAAGTTATTTAGGAAAGGAAAGACGCAAGCATGGCTGAGTATCTGGCGTCCATTTTCGGCACCGAAAAGGATAAGTGAGTATGCCAATAATAATAATGTTTATGGAGTGAATCAAATTTCTTTTCGATTTTATGTTTTTGTTACAGAGTAAATTGCTCATTTTACTTCAAAATCGGAGCATGCCGCCATGGCGACCGTTGTTCACGTATTCACAATAAGCCAACGTTTTCGCAAACCGTGCTACTCCAGAATCTTTACGTAAACCCCCAGAACTCGGCTAAGTCGGCTGATGGGTCACATTTAGTGGCGAATGTTTCTGACGAAGAAATGCAGGAACATTACGATAACTTCTTCGAAGATGTTTTTGTTGAGTGTGAGGATAAGTATGGCGAAATCGAGGAGATGAATGTTTGCGATAATTTAGGAGATCACCTAGTAGGTAACGTTTACATTAAATTCCGTCATGAACAAGATGCTGAAAAGGCGGCGAATGATTTGAATAATCGTTGGTTTGGAGGGAGACCGGTATATTCGGAGTTATCACCTGTTACCGATTTCCGCGAGGCATGTTGCCGTCAATATGAAATGGGCGAATGTACACGATCCGGATTTTGCAATTTCATGCATTTAAAACCGATTTCAAGAGAACTGCGAAGGTTAAATTTCCAAAATATTAAATAGCAAATTATATATAAAATACATATTTCCAGGTATCTTTACTCTCGTCGGCGACGATCACGTTCCCGTTCACGTTCTCCACGTCGTCGGCGTTCTCGTTCACGCGATAGACGCCGTTCTCGTAGTCGGGAAGGTCGCGGGGGCGGTAGTGGTGACGGGCGAAAAGGACGTTATTGAATAAGAGATGCACCAATTTTATTGTAATGTTTCCAGAATTAAAAGCGGGGTTTCAAAGCAAGAAGCTGCATTATTCACTAGATGATGTCCTCTTTTTTCACTATGTATTCAGTCAATCAATCTAATAAAACGATGATTTACTAGAACTAACTCTTTATTGATAATGTAATCTATATTAACATATTTTTATTGTATATTAGAATTCTGACGAATTTCCGCAGGCTGCTGATCAGTGATTTCCATATCCTTGAGTTGCTTTGTTAGGTCGATTTGCTTTTGCAGGAGGTATGTATTTTCAGTTTTGCGACGTTGTTGACGTTCAATATCGCGGACGACACCTTCATGGAGGCGAGCACTGGTACAACAAAAATATTATTAAACATTAATTTGCATTCGATTATGAACATATGGTACATACATATATGCCTATAATATTTGCAAGCAGTCGTAATCACACTTACCGGTCGCTGCTCTGTTTGTAGTGTACATAACCAATAACGCTCGCTGAAAACCCAACAGAAAGCGCTAAAGCTATTTTAGCACCAGCAGACATTTTGGACTTAATTTAATTAAATGCTGATTTTTATTTGGTTATTAGCAACGGAAAATTTTGAATATGTAAAACGTCTTAATAGCAAAAATATATTGAAAAAAACTTGGCTGGGACAAAATTCAAGGTATGCTTCAAAACAAAAGTCAGCTGTTAGTGTTGCCTATCTATCCATGCTTCTGTGCGACTATACAAAAGAGGGAAATTTTAAGGCATGCGTTGAAGAAACAGGGTATATTAAGTTTTCCACGTAGTTTGTAACACCCAGAAGGAAACGTAGAAGATTTTATAAAGTATATAGATGATTAGATGTTAGCCATGTCCATTCGTCTGTCTGTATATACGCCAAAAACACCTCAGTTTTTGAGATCTTCATCTGAAATTCTGCACACGCTCATTTGTCGGACCACTGCAAAAGATATATATCTTCTGTGCAGCCGAGTTAACGTTTTTCTTGTAATACTCTTGCAACATGTTGCTACAGAATCGAATTAGATATAGGGTTAAGAATATATAAATGATCACGATGAAGAGATGAGTTGAAATCCGGGTGACTGCCTCTACGTCCGTCCGTCGGTGCATGCTGTAACTTGAGTAAAAATTTAGATATCTTGATGAAACTTGGTACACATGTTTCTGAGCGCCGTAAGACGGTTGGTATTCCAGAGGGATTTGATCGACCAATGTCACGCTCACAAAACCCCATTAATCCAAAACCAATTAAAGATACAATACCGTTATTAGTATAACGAATCACATTAGGGAGAGTCATCTGCCGTTTAAATTTTTTGCTAAAGTGGGCGTGGTGTCGCCCTCTAATAGGTTTGATGTGCATATCTCCTAAACCACTAAGGCTCTAATATCACTCAGGATAAATATTTTATTTAAACACAAATAAACAAAAGGTATTATATGTTGATTTTTTTATTTTATAAGTATGAAACAAATGAGTAATTTTCAAAGTTGTTAGTATGCTATCTCTTCACCAATTTAAAGCCAAATCAGTCAAGCCGTTCATAAGTTATAAATATTGTAGCTAACACTTCATTTCGCGCTTCGCGTTGCTCATCAATTTGATTTGCTCTAATATATCTTTGACTTGCAGTATTTCGAGTTCTGCGGCCTAAGTTTGTACGTCTGCTTGGTGGCATTTTTAAAAACGAAAATCCAACTGAAAATAAAAAATTATGTAGTCATCAAAAGTTACCAAAAATCGATATTAAGCTGTGAACTTACCGTGATTAACAAACACTTATTAGCAAACAACAACTTTATTAAAAACTTAATAAAATTATTATTAGCGCTATGTTAGGTTATGTGTGTCAGATTACCACAGATTACTAAATAGGTTATGCGAAGTTTGTATACTGCGATCGAAAATATCGAATGTATTTTTTCAATCTTTCTGAGACATTTTCCTAATATTTTTTTCCGTAAGAACCTTCTATAGAGTATTACAAAACTACAAAAAAAAACAGCCAAATCGGTCTAGTCGTTCTCAAGTTATGGCGTGACAACGGAAAACGGGTTTAATTTTTATATATTATATTATATTATATAGATGAGATACGATATAAAAAGTACAGACATTCTTCTTGGCGAAAGAAATATATCTATACACAAAATTTCCTATATTTCTTATAAAATCATATATATACATATACATATTAGCTATATGTGGATATATCACTTGGGCGCTGTCTGAAATTGTTAAAATTTCTCATAAAAAATTGCTTACGTAGTTACGGTTCTAAGTAGTTGACTTTTTAATTACTATGATAATACCTGACACGTAACCATTTTCTTAATTAAATAACTAGTCCAAGAAATGAGTTCTTTGCGTGATGGTTCACCTAAATGTGGCTAATGCAATGTGATGATAAAATGTCCTTATTTGTTGATATTTTTGCTTGGAATTTATGAGGCTTGGCAAGTGCGTAAGTACATGACATGGCAGCAATAACCAACAAATAATCTTTTCAAAATCTTACTCATAAGGACTAAATATGAGATAGTTGTCACCAAATCCAAATCCCACCAAGCAAACATTTATTGTTCATTGAAAACGTTAAAATAAAAAACTTTTTATCGCCGTAACTCGTTGTTAATGGTGAGAGGCGACGAGGAAAGACGAAGGGCACATAGTGCTGGTCCGTGTTTTATAAATATTTACTAATTTTGTAAAAGTATCTATTTAATAAAAATATAAAAGTGGAGCAAATATTTAGGCATACAATTATAATAAGCGTTTATTACTTCTCAGATGGCGGGTATGTACTTGGACTTATATGAAGAGTATATCAACTGAAAAGCTCGACCGATGGTGTATACTTGAGAATAAATAACTAACAAGTATGGAAGAGCTGAATTCGTATGCGCCCGAACAGTATATACACTCGCTGGCGAAAAATCTTACGGAAGCAACGCTAAAAAGTAATGCTCTCACCAGGTTTCGTTTTACTTTTACACATTTTATAACCACATATGCCAGTCCCAACCACGTTCGAATTTTCTAGTATACGTGTCTATGAGCAATAATAACTGGGCTCATAATGGACTGATTACATCCATTTGTAAAATCTGCTTAGAGGACCAAGTAACACATTTACCCAGTAGTCCGGAAATCAAATCGTCACTATTTTAAACTATATAATCCCGCATCTATCCCAATTAGCTTTGGAGATGCAAAGAACCGTTAGGTGAATGAAGCATGTTGAGAGAGTATTAAAGTTGTAAGTACGAAAGACGTAATCTAATTAACAATAAATTTAGCAATTTTGGAAATATCCCAGACCATTTTTATTGAAGTGCTTAATGTTACTAACTCAAGTCTTATTTGTCTAAAAGAAGTAAAACCTAACAAGTGGAAATTTGTGAATAAACCAATTTCTAAATATTCCTCTGTAATTATCTCAGTAAGGAGTTACTTTTTTACTATGAACAGCCTCTTCTAATTACTCTCTCTAAGGGACACAGGATTTCGTATTGTCTACAGTCGCAATACATTTTGCCAGAGCTACGCCGAATCAATTTATGGTGGCAAGAAAATTCTAAAAAAATTGTATTTATAATGAATACAAAAGCAAGGGATTATAATAATTATAACTATATTCAGAATTTGACTTAAATTTTTACATCCAGATATATAAGTACGATGGAAGTGGAAAAAACAATTGTGACTTTTGATAACTTCTGTGGAGCATCTGTAAGGTTGCGCACCCTGAATAGGGGTTCACTCTAGAGATAACGATAATTTCGTTCCATTACATTTGGACGAGTGCGTTTGAAAGGAAGATGCATTGCTTCGTGAAGTCATTACCGAAAGGAGAAGACGGTATTTTTCACCAAATAGCTATGAAAGTTTAACAATTCGTTTCATGAATGACGTTTCTACCATAATGAGAATCACTTGAATATTATTGGAGTTATTAAGAAAGTCGCACTGACAATTGCCAATATTATCATTTAGAAGATTGGACAATTAGCAGAGTATACTTAAGATATAATTGTCACAAACAACTGTGCGTCCCCAGGATTTGGTTCTGAACAAGGTGTAGAATAGCATAGATTTTAACATTCAGTGAAACAGCAAACTTTAAGCTGGGTATGGGATAATAATAGTATTTTGCAATAGTGAAACGAACTTAACTTTTTATTGACAATAAATCAGTTCAGTAACTCTATTGCTCTAAAGATATTGTAATCAGATGGATCACCGCTGGCTTTTACATGGAGAAGAGAGTTTAAATAAGCTTTGAAAGCATGAATTCCTAAGAGTTATGAGGTAGTTTGATCTGACTCCACACAAAGTCGATGAAGGGCCAGTCTGGTTATTTTTAAAACACGATTAAATTCCCAAAGCTGCACCTGTAGAGATTAATGGGATTTAATTACAAATTGATGTTAATTATATATATATATATATGCATATTTATTCGGTGGCATAAGTACTTAGATCATCGGAAATAAAATGCAGGCACTTTATTTTAAATTCCGTATACCTTTCAAGAAATTATTTAATAATTTTTTTACCGCCCTATATAGGAAGCGCTTCCAAGAAATTTCAAAAGCTATGCAATACATATGTATACGAGTATACCATATAAATAAAGTAGCAGGCTGAAAAGACTACAGATTACAAAATTCTGTAGTCTCGGTTTTGATTTTTATAATAACAAAACAAGATTTGGTGACGACAGTGGAAACATTAAAATATTTTGTTTATGTCTTTTCATATTTATATAATATAACCTGATACCCAGTATACGCTGTATTAAGTTTGAAATGAAGTTTATAACACCAAGAAGGACATGACGGAGACCATAAAAGAAATATGTATATCCATACATACATGTCGTCTGTCTGTATAAATTTACGCGAGCTAGTGCCTCAATTTTTGAGTTATCGATTAGAAATTTTGCACACGTCTTTTACTCCACAAGAAGCTGGTCATTTCTTGGAAGCGTCGATATTGGAGCACTTTATCATATAGCTGCTATACAAACTAAAGGATCAAAATCAATTTCTTATATGGACAACTCTTTTGTTTGACAAGATATCTTTATGAAATTTGACAAGGATTGTTATCCAAAGTCATACCATATCTCAACCAATTTTTCAGATCGGACGACTATAGCATATTGTTAAGTTTACATATTATATAAGCTGACCGATCAAAATCAAGTTCTTGTATTGAAACTTTTTTATTTGAGAAGGGTATTACTGCTTCGGTGCAACCAAAGTTAACGTTTTTTTGTCTTTTTTTTTGCTTTAATTTTAATATTGCGCTAATGTTTTGGTTTTGCTGTTGTTGTTTATTTTAATTCACGTATTTAAGTAATTCATAACAAAAAATAAGCGGAATCGATGAATTCACTCGTTTATGAGTAAACACACAAGGTATTTGTAAATATAACCGAATGTGTAACAAAGGAAATCGAGAATGGCAGCTGTTGTGAATAATATTCCATTTGGTTTGCTACTTTTATAGCATTTTTATTTGGCCAAAATACAATTCCACTTCCATCGGCAATACAGTAGGCACATTTACAGTGTTGAAACGGTAGCTTTAGCGGGCATGCGCACTCCTGTAGTACGCAAATGGGCCGACGGCCATGGAAGAGTAAACAATCTACTCTACTCCTACTTAAGGCCTATGTACTTTCCTTCTTCGTTCGTCAGTGCCCGGATAGTTGAATATTAACGGAACTATCACCCACCTGTTTTTCTCCGATTGCTCATTGCAATCTCACATTGTCCAAAACAACAACAATTCGTGTTTGAGAGTGATTGGTTTCACTCCAGTAAGTGCGGCAGATACTCTGGTGAGCAGCGAAAATGTGGAGAAACAGTGTGTTTAAGCGGAAAACGTTTTATTCCAAAAATAATAAAAAATATTTATAGTATATAGTTACTAGTAGATCCGGCCACTCATTGCTGTGTCTATGGTATTATATTAAACCAAGAAAGGCGAAAACGTATTTTCAAATCCAAAGGATTGGAATTGAGGTTAAATTTTGAAAACGATTGATACAAATATTTCTCAATGAAAAAATAATGAATTTACTAAAAATATTATATTTTTTATTATATGTATATTGTTTTTTTTTGTTTTTAATTTGGACAGATGCTTCTGATTAGATATATATGTTTTTTTTATTAATATTTTTACTTTTAACATAATTGAGATATAAACAATTATATCATTTAAGTTTGATCAAACTGGACAGAAGAAAATTTTACCAAAAGCAGTTCAGTAGTTTTGAAGTGTACCTCGGAGAAAACGTGACACGTAATTCTTATATAAGTACATACATATGGGAATAGATTTCGAAAAACTGCCTACGACAAGGGGATGAGCTTTCATGCCTACTATTCAATTTTGCGCTTGAAAAGGTGATAAGAGACTCTGGAGTAAACATCAAAGGTACAATATTTTTCAACTTCGTTTCAAATTTTGGCTTACGCTGACATTTATACAAATAGAAAAAGCTGCAAAGATTATGGGCATTTCAATAAACGAAAACAAACGATAGTATTAATATCCTCAACGACGAAATCAGTGCATCACAGTATTGGGAAAAACTTAAGCGTTGGCGAGCATAACTTTGAGGTAGTTGACGAGATTAAGTACTTAGGAGTAAACATTAACAATACGAGCAATATGCGGAAATAAACCGAAGGATAATAGCCGCTAACAAATGCTATTTCGCACTAAGCAAACACTTAAAGCGTAGCACCCTCGATAGGGGGTAAAGATAGGTGAAAATTTCAATATACCGCACACTGATTGCTCCTGTGCTAGCGAAACCTGGACTTTATGCAAAGCTGAAGAAAACAAGTTAGAAGTCTTCGAAAGAAAAGTTTTGTGTAGAATTTTTCGAGCTATTTCTGACGATGGCTTATGAAGGAAGCGGTATAACTACGAGCTACAGCCTTTGTATAATACCCCCAATATAATAACAACAATTAAATTAAACAGGCTACGGTGGGCTGGTCATATTATTCGAGCTGGCGAAAACTATTCTCCTGAGCAAATTCTCCTAAGCAGATGCAGAAATAACAGAAGCAGAGGCAGACCAATACTAATATGGATCAATGGTGTAGAGCAGGACGCTGAGGCGCTGGAACTACGATGCTGCCGAGCTCAAGAAAGGGACAGAAATAATTAGAGACATAAATTGCAGCAAGCGAAGACCGCACCGGGTTGTGGAGCTGATGATGATGACATATATAGATATCAATTTCAATGTGAAACTTTTTATCTGTCGTTCCAATTTTTTTAACATGGGTGTTAAATAATCTTCCTTACATTGGTCAAAGGTACTTAAAGTATCTTAAAGTAAAGGCTTACTGAGGTGATCAATTTCATATTTCATAAAGGATTCTCATATTAGCGATGACAATCAGATATTTCAAAGATACCGACGTCTACTGGAATTCTGGACTTAGCTGAAGTATAGATAACCGGCAATAACCTTATCCTACAGATACTATCGAACAGCATTTCTTACGACTTTTTTAGTTACATCTCAAAGACAAGCCGAATTATCAACTGTGTTTTATTTTTAGTCACTTCTTAAGTGAGGAAATTGACTGATTCAATGGTCATAGTACAATTAGAACTCAAACAATCAGATAATGAACACGATAGGGCCGATGTCGTAGCTTTATGGGATGCAAAAGTAACACTTTTTTATATATTCCCGACTTCATTATGCATGGAGCGAATTCTATCGGTAATAGTTTTGCGGAGAGAAATTACATACACTGGTTTTAGTATATTTACACACTTGGAAGGTGTTAAGTCAGAGATAAAATCTACGTACACATGTACATGCTGTTTTTTCTTGCTGATTGAAAGTCTGTAGTGGTGCAAAACACTTAAAGTTGGCTCCGCCACAATGTAATAACATATTGTCAAACCAGAAAAATTGTTAACTTCGGTTGAATCGGCGATATAATATCCTTCACAAATTCAAAGGTTCCTTACAAGAACTTGATTTTGATCGTTCAGTTTGTGTGGCATCGATAAATGAGCAGCTTCTTGGGGAGAAAATAACGTGTGCTAATTTTCAGATCGATATCTCAAAAATTGAGGGACTGATTCTTGTATATACTTATGCCTAAACTTGCCTAAATTAACTCAGCTCGTCACACTAATCATTTATATATATATACTTGTATATATAATATATTATAGGGTCTCCAGCATTTCCTTCTGGGTGTTACAAACTTCGTGCAAACTAAATATACGCTATTCAGGGAGTAATAATATATTTTGCTTTCATAAATATATACGCGAAACGCGCTCAGAGGGTTGCCGATCACTGATATGGGTGGTTATATTAGTCCGGAAGATCTTGCCTACGAATTCAAAATTTTGTTTTGTTTTGAATATTTAACACTTTTTTAATATTAACCTTTCTGGAACAACGAAGACGTGTTATTAAAATTTTCATAAGTGCGTAACGTTAGTGATGACCGTTGTTGAAATAGTCGATTCTTTGGTACTACTACTGTGATGGACCAATGAGGTTATAATTCCTTGACCTCCTACTTATATTGCTATACATAAATATTGCAAGTTTTTGTTAATTGCCGCAATACTTATAAATCGTGTTTTCACGCTATGGTGACCCACTGTACCGGAATAACGAGAACAAAAGTTAAAACAGCTCAAAATTCGCTCATCCTCGTTGGCGTTGAAAACATCGACTTCGTATGGTCTTGACCAGAATACACGCTGCCTGACACGCTGACGTGCGCCTCCACAAAGCCATATTTATACATCAGTACATCTGCAAGTACCCTCAATTATTCGAGCTTCGTTGTGCGCCATCGCTTTAGTTGTCAGTTGATTGCCAGTAGTAGAATCGTGTGGATGTATCAATTGAGCGCGCGCCAGCGAAACGATATTGAGCAACAGTAAAGAGTAAATCTGTGTTTTCATTCAAAACAAAATAAAACTAGAAGCAGAGAGCGTGCGGTTGGTACCCCGATGTCGGTTGAATAGCGACGCGACGCGACGTGACGCAGTAATAGTTAAGAAGAGGAGCAATCCAAAAGATAGTTCACTTTGTGACCCTAAATTTATCACATACATACATAAATACATATGTAAGTAGGGAAGCCATTCGAAGTAAATCGCTGAAGACCAGCCTAAGCGTATAGGCTGTTAATGAAAACCTAAATTATGCATTAGCTGTTGGTGCGGTGAGGTGCGTTGCTGTGCGGTTTATTGTGGTTGGTGTGACTGTAATCGCGGTGTCACCGGCTAAGGTGTGCTGCAACGCTTTGTGTCGCGTTTGGTTTCATGGGTGTGTGCTGACATGAATAACTGTGTTTTCGGTCGTGTTTGTTTGCTTAGCCTCCAGGAGCTGTGCCACCACGTCTTATTATGTTTTTTTGTGGTTTTGCCTCTGACGCACACTACTCGCGGAAGAGAGGAAAGAACATGGCTGACACATCAACTGTGCATGTGTTTTGTTTGTTCAATATGTTTTGATTTGGTCTATTATTATTATTTTTTTATGGATACAAATATCGATTTTGTGTGACATATAAAATAAACTTTCTTGTGTGACAGTGATTCCAATCGTTTCTGTTTAGATTTGTTGTAATTTAGTGTGAAAAAGTGTTGGTGAAACAAAACAACCGAAAGATATACAAAAAGTACTACAGACTTATGAATTCCTAATTATATTCTAGTTCAATGTGTTGCGTGTGAGTGCGCACTGTTGACCCATTCGTAAAAATTTGAAGTTCCTATTAGCAGTTATCGGGAAAATGTTTCATATGAATCTCAATTCTTATAATACTTGTGATATTTAAGATTTTTTAATTTAACAAGTTTCATGTCCATACTGCGTGAATACCATAAAAGATATTTTGCTTGAATTTAAAATATAATTACATTTTTTTTACAGCTTTCAGGCTTTTTACAAAATACTGGAAGATTCTTAATAGTTCGATTTATATTTTTTACGTTTAAAAATTATTCTATCCTGCATTTTTACACCCAGAACAGGGTATATTTATGATGTAACACCCAAAGGGAAACGTTCGAGACCCTATAAAGTATATTTATGCATATAAAAAAGATGATCAGCGCTACGAGCTAAGTCGATGTAGCCATGTCCGTCTGTTCGTCTGTATATATGCGAACAAGAACCCTCAGTTATTGATATATCGACCTGACATTTTACACACGTCCTTTTCACACCAAAAAGATGCTCATTTATTTCAATCGCCGATATCGGACAATTATAGCATATAGCTGTCATACAAACTGGCCGGTCAAATTCACGTCCTTATAAGGAAATATTTTTTATTTGAGAATGTATATTCAAAAAATTTGAAATAAATTATTATCAAAGGCATCTCCGAAGAAATTGTTCAGATCGAACAACTATGATGGAAATTTGGAAAGATTATTACCTGGTGCATCGCTACCGAACATACGTATTGCTCAGATCGGATCATTATAGCATATAGCAGCCATTTTTTATTTGGTATACTCTTTTATGTAAAAATGCACCTGTAAAGGGTGTTATATCTTCGGTGCAAGCGAAGTTGACGTTTTTTTTATTACAGAATAGTTATCGTTGTTTCCCAAACTTTATTTACAACAAAAAAAAATTTCTTGTGAACAAAGTAAATTCAGAGCGTAAGTGTGTATATATATCGCCTCTATATGTACGTAAATATTTATACAACTTCTATAAAAACTATTAAACACTTTATGTCTTACATTTTTACTCAGACATAGAGTCTTATCTAACTGAACTGCAACTCTGATTTCATAATGGGTTTCAGGTTGTCCAACACCACAAGACATCTTGTTGATGATGGCCTCTTGAACACCAAATAGTGGGAAAAGTCTCCTTCATTTTTTAACTTAAACATCCTGCCTTAGACTGGTCTCTAACACACACATGCATACCTTATTTTCTACTTGCAATTATATTGGTAATATTTTCTAGTAACTTTGATATTAGTAAAGGTGACTTTCGTAGATGTGGAATTTTATCTACTCACAACTTTTCTCTCGCTCTACATTCGTAGTTTTTCAAATGGCTTAATTTTTTTTCAGTTTGTGTAATTGTGTCACTGGTGACTCACACTTTCATGACATACATACGCACTTTCATCCCGAAAACTGTTCACCATACAGCGCCAACTGCCGCTTCGTTCCGCTTAACTGACGCCGGCCGCATTACAAAATTCCAATATACAAACTGCAACGATGTTCAAATTATTGTTGGAGCCGTCTGTTGCCCCACCCATTATTGCTGCTTGTCATTTGGTATCGACAATATTTCCCTCATCCGCATGATTCCCACTCCCAATGTGGCTTCAACTCCGCTTAACCGCTCTGCTACCTTTGACACACTCGAATAATTTTTTTTGAAGTCAACTGCAATGGAAATCTTAGCTCCACTTATGTTTGGTTGTGATGCTTTCATTTATTGATGTTTCTATTTTAAAGGTATATTGCCGCAAACGCCTAAGTGTGTCACAACAAAGGTAGTGACAAATACAATAACACATAGGAGCAAACCGCATTGGAACCGATTGTTTTCATGAATTTAATATAACTATGTATGTAAGTTTAGAGGAAAGCTATCATTACTATGTGCATTAAATCTATTGTCTCTAAATAGATATCCTTGCAGAGGCTTTGTAACACTGTAATCGCTTCTTCTTTCGTTCTCGATAAATTTGGGCTACTGAGGCATTACTTTAAAAAAGTTAAAAACTAGTTTATCATTTAAACTACCGTTCAATAAGTCAGTCACCGGAAGTAAATATTGTACATTTCAATTTAAGCTTCATAAGTTTTCTTTTTAAATTATATAACCGACTCGGGCATTTTTAAGGGTCAAAAATGATTTATCTCTATTCCCGGCAACACAATGAGTCTTATAGAAAAAGTTATATGGCAAAGTTGTAGGTAATCAGAGATCTACATACAACTTTTGAATCAACACCTATTGGACTCAACCTCAAAATTGCAAAGGCTGGACAATGGAGAAGAAAGTGCTTGGATGTTTCCATCTCACCGCTTTCCATACAACTTTAACAATTTGCGTCCGACAAGATTTTTAGCGTTTGGTACTTACTTGTGGAGAACCTTGAAAAGCAGTGTGTCTGTAATTATTGTTCCCTTGGTGGCTCATGTACAATAATGACTGCGTTGAAATATTGAAATATTTGCACCAAAGCCGGCCTATTAAAATGTTCACGATACTTGTACATGGTTCGCCTCTAGATTATTTCTTATTAACATGAACCATCGATTTTCGTTAAGAAATCTTTGAACGATAAGAAATGGTAAATGGAAAAGTAGAATAATCCCATTGAAGGTACCGCTTCACACTTGACCCAATCATACTATGCAGAATAAACAGCATGTTACAATGTAGGTAGACGATTTGGGTTGGTTGCTGATTTTATTTTATAGATGAAGGACTTTAATAAGTTAACCGTACAGAGTAAAAATATGAAGATTGCATTTATGAGGAGAATGCGTAGTAAACATTACCTTAAACTCTGTTATATGATATGAGAATGTTCCTTCAATCATCTTCGCGGTTTTTAGTGCAACTAATTTGTAATTAGACTATAGTGATACTTGAGCTTTTTGCTACACATGTGCATCAAGTCTGTTTTTCATAATGTAACTGACACTTCTTTAAATTGCGATCCTATTTCTTGCCTGTGAAGTACATTGTTGGGTCTTTTTGTTGAATTGGGCTCATCACATCACGGGTTTTTCAAGATATTTTGCGGAAATAGTTACATGCATAAATATTTATGGAAAAATAGTTGCTTAAACTGCAGTTACACAATATTTCAGATCGGTTGTACTTATTTAAGACACACGCTTACTTCTAGTCTTCATTTTTAGCCATTCAAAAGTTTTAGCTTTGGTTATGTTTAAAACAATTATTAATACAGAAGTATGTAGTATGTATACTTGTTCATATGTTTGCAAATGTTCGTCGTTTGTGTTACCCATAAACTTCTAATAGTGGATCAGCAGATCCTCATAGATTGACGAAGCATTTTGAGATTACCACACATTTGTTTAGGCGGTTATTATCAATCTCAGCCATTTCGCTCAGGTTCGCCGAATGTATTTCTACCGAGATATTTCAGTCTCAGTCTGGCAAAAGACGAACAATAGAGTAGAAAGTGGCAAGACGGTTTCACCTCGCCTTCCTTTCTACAGCTTTGGCAAAGAGCTATAATTTTAGTCGCACCACGTGTGAATCTATTGGACATTTTCCAGCTAAAACATCTCAAATTGCGGCGAGACCGACTTTACTAGGAGCAAGTAGGTCGGAGAACCTCTTACGGTTCATTCTGGGCAAAAAGGAGCTCGCAAGCGCAAAAGTTCTAGTTGTTGATCAGCGCTTGTAGAGCACACTGGAGATCCTTAGATCCAGCGCTAGAATACAAGAACATATCACTTCCAATCGGATGAAATTGGGGTAAGGTTGCCCATTCGAGCTAGCTCATCGGCCTTGCAGTTTCCATATGCAGTCCCCACATGTTCAAAAAAAAAAAATTGTATTTCATGTTCGCATTACTTAAGCTATTATTTAATGTGACCATTATTTCAAATTGCTTTCTTTTATGATCAGAGAAATGAGTCTATTCTATGAGCTGATTTCTTGAGATAAATTGCTTAACAAATTTTTGATATTCTGTCCCTATTTGTTAAAAATGTTTTTGTTTTACTTTCGCATTAATTAAGTCAGTGTGCCCACTTGTCTAAACGGTTATTTTGATTGGTATGTATTCAATTTCAAAAAGCTTTTTTTATAATCAGAGAACTTATACTTTAATGGTGAAATCTGAAACAATATTCTTCATTAATCTACACATTCAAATACTGAAATAAATACATACATATGTAGGTATATACTTGTATAAAAAAACACACAAACTATCTCTGTAGTGTTTATCAAGAAGTGTTTGCACTTTAATACGACAAGCTGAGACCATATGGAAATTATTACTATGCCGTTAAAGATGACTAACATCGGCTGAAAGTTATTCAACCTTTATAAAACTTTATTTTTGATATGTTTACATTTAGTCTAACGTTTAACGTAACCACACACATATGAATACTATAACATGTGCATTAGGATGGGTAAAAAAAACGAATATTTTTTTTACTTAGTGCTATGAAAAAAAGGTTCTTAGACACCTCTACGATAATCAATTTAAGGCCGAGGACCTTCCCGTTACAATTAAGAGCTCAACTTGGAGAGATTTTCGTCAAGGTGTCTAAGAACCTATTTTTTAGAGTACCAAGCGAAAAAAATATTAGTTTTTTCGACCCACCCCAATATGTATACATATGTATGTACCTAACTACATATATTTCCATACAAGAACTTGATTTAAATAGGTCAGTATGTATGGAAGCTATATATTATACATATTATATGTGATCCGATATAGTTTATTGGGTCTCCGACGTGTGTTACACACTTTTTGGCAAACTTTATATACCTTGTTCAGGATATAAAAAATGAGGTTAAACGCAACGACAATATTCAATAAATCTGCAATCACAGGTTCATTTGTAAATAAGCAATCACATTTCTTTAAAAATACAAATAACTTTTTGCAATTTTCCATTCTTGTACTCATTTTGTCTTGGCGCAAGCATAGCACATATGAAAGTGAATTTCAAGCGGACAGTTATCGCGTCATTGACCTATTAAATGCGATCAGAGTTTATTTTCGTTTCGGATCTGCTATGGCAAGCAGTCATAATTGTCCAAACATACGCGTTTACAATCAATGCAAAGCATACGAATATAAATATGTATCTATATATATTTTTGTAGCTGTTTGTAGTATCCAGATATGGTATAAAATCAGTATTCAACAAGGAAGGAAGGGCTAAGTTCGGGTGTAACCGAAAATTTCATACTCTTGCAACTTGCCAGAATCAAAGCCGGGGATATACCTTCAGGTTCATAAGATTTGTTAGAACAACGAAAATCAATATATGTAGTTTAAGGTAGATGGGTCATTTGTGGACCAATTTCACATACTTTCGGTACTAAACTATAGTGTATCCAATATTATCATTCAGTTAATTTTGCTAAGGTATCATACTTATTTGCCGATATATGCGATATAACGTCAACCGGTAGTTCGAAAGTCTTTCTATTAGGTATATGGGGGCTGAGAGAATTATTGATCCGATTTAACCATTTTTGACGTACAGACATATTGCCATCAGAAATTAGTTATCTTCGAATTTCTATAATATATCTCACAGATTTAACAATATAATTTTTATAAAGCCCTCTCGTATCATCTCGTGTGTAAAATGTTATGTCTCTGAAGTTATTGATTTATCGGGCTTTAAGTAGTTTTTAACAGTTCCGTTATATGGGGAGTGGGCGCGATATGGGGAGGCGAACCCGATTTCATCCATTTGTACAATGTCGGTAGGGGTTCTCAAAAGATTTGTCCTAAGCAAAATTTTGGTGAATTAGCTTGAATGATTTGGGAGATATGTACTCGTACATTAAACTTATTAGAGGGCGGGACCATGCCCACTTTAATAACTTTTTTTAGTCCACAGGGGCCCCTTGCTACTTTTATCCCCTGTACCAAATTATGTAAATTGTAGATTTTCGTTTAATTGCGTTTTAGGGTATCGCATTATTAGGATATCTCAATTTTTACTCAAGTTCCAGCTTGCATAGACAGACGAACAGACGGAGGGACAGACAGACATTCGGATTTCAACTCGTCTCGTCATCCTGATTATTTATATGTATAATATATACATAAATCCATATATATCTCGATTAGTTTTAGGCGATACAAACAACCGTTAGGTGAACAAAACTATTATACTCTGGAGTAACATGTTGCAATAGTATAAAAACTGTAATGTTCCAATTTCCTCCCGAAACTGCTATTTCATTATTAAATGTAATATGTAACAGGAAAAAACGTCCACTTCGGTTGCTATCAGCGCTTCGACAATAGTTCGAGCCAAATTTCGTAAAGATATCTCGCCAAATGAAAAAGCTTTCAATACAAGCTATTGATTCCGTTTGTTCAGTTTGTGTGGCAGCAATATGATATAGTGATCTGATATCGGCAGTTCCGACAAATAAGCGGCTCCTTGGTTAGAAAAGGACTTGTGCAATATTTCAGATATATAGAATACCTCAAAAACTGAGCGACTAATTAGCGTATATACATACAGACGGACGGACGGATAGACAGACGGACATGGCTTAATCGACTCAGCTCGACAATGTAAGAATATATGTGTTTTATATGGCTTCCGACGTTTCTTTCTGAGTGTTACAAACTTAACATGCCCTATTCAGGGTATAATTAAATCTGATTTTAAAACGAATATTGAAATCTTTAAATCTTCTTCGTAATATAAATTAAATTTAATCCTAGATGTAGGCAATATTTATATATATTTTATAAATATTTAAAACATTTTTAGTCTAAATATATATATTAAATCACCGTATGATAAATAAGGTCACATACACATACACACGGACGTAACTTGTACAGGTAATAAAAACCATTGAGGAGCTGAATTATTGTTGTACTTGGAAAAAGAAAAATATCAATGGCTTTGATGTGGTCGAAAATGCATTTTCGTATCATAATTTTTTTTACGCTTCCTTTGTGATATGAAACAATAGTGGGCGTGCGAGTGTAAGGATAAACTCTATAAAAAGCGTCTGAAATTCTTTACAGATTTCAAATTAACCCCGAACGTGCGCGCATGAACAGGAATAGTATTAAAAACTAATATATTTTGAAAACGAAAAAAAAACATACGAAATTGCCTAGCTACTTGTATAGTTGTGATATAACGGTTGTTACTTAGCGAAGTGGCTGTGCAGAACTCGAGTGTACATAATTGATATTTGCCTTCGAAATATAGAAACGCGAAATAGTCGTTAGCAAAATGACGAAGGTTGAACTTTACAAATCGCGTGTGTTTGTCACCATAATTCATCTGTTTGCTCTGGGCCAATTTGCGTATGGCCTCTTTTATAATAAATTTGAGATACAGCGCAGCGCAAAGCTGGAAATGTCGCCAAGCCGACGATTAGTGCCAGAAGGTTTTGGGCAGAAAGTGAAGTTTTTCACCTTTTGGAATTTGGTAAGTTTTAATGAATTGGAAATTTTTTAAATATTAAGTAAAATTGCCTTAATATATTCTAAAAAATTAATATAATATATTCTTGTGTCTATATTTGTAAATTTATCGCCAACCTTTTACATACTTATGTACATGTATGTGCAATAGCCTTTAGAAGAGAATTGGCTATGTTGGTGTCGTGCATAGCTGAGAGCGAGTGTGTTGATTTTCACTTGCTGATTTTGGTTAATGCGTCCTTTACAGGACCTTCAAGCAGGCGTATGCGCATTAACAACTTTCATTTACTCTCGCTTATACTCTTAAGTTACCCATACAGATAGTTAGACATGCAAACGTACATATACCTATACTAGAAATTCCATATTTCGACCTCATTTTCGTAAACAATGAAGGTATGCGCAACAGTTAGATATTTATCAACCCAATAATATGTGAGTATGTGTTAATATTGGACACCTACTGTGTATTTGCTTGATTCGTGGCACGAGCCTTACAACCATTTTCTCATTTTAGTACTGAGAAACTATCTTTCATAGAATTGTTGCTGTATGTACATTGGTTAATAATTATTTGAATATAGGTATATTATATAAACAATATTCAGAATAGGAGTTTTTTTAGGTACGGGAAACATGAATGAGTTAAACCATAATTTATATGGAAATTTAAATGAACTAACACTAAATTCGTAGTTTTAAGTAGGAAATTTCCGTTCGATTTCCTAAATACTAGAATGATAGGTTGCCCGGATTATGTCCTTCAAACTTCCAGAAATCATGACAACGGACTTTGAAAACATAGTTTCGAGAAAAACGCGTTTAAGGTTTTAACTGACTATACGCGCAATTTTTCATGACTGTATCTCCAAAACTATTACTCGAATCAACTGAGCATTAAGGACAATATTTTAGATATGTTATAGAATTAAATAAGACAATACAAGAAGAATCGACTTTTTGAAGTCGTGAAACCCATGTAACCCCTTAAATAACGATTTTGCATGCCAAAAATGCTACAAAAAGTCGTTTTTGCAATGGATTGCGACTGGTGATGGAAAAAAGATTCATAACAAAGCCAAAAATCAAATGTGAAACCTGGCCAACCAGCCAAATCAACTCCACGACGCCAAGATAACACTGTATATTTGGTGGGATCAGAAGTGAAAGCATTAGTGGGGAACGCTACCGATAACAACTCATCAAATTAAAGCGAGCTATTGCCGAAAAACTATAATAATTTTCCATTATGACAACACTTGGTCTCATGTTGCAAGACCAGTTAAAAACTATTTGGAAAATAGTGGCTGAGAAGTTTTGCATCACCCGCCTTATAGCCCAGACCATGCCCTTTCAGACTACCATTTGTTCTGGTTAGTGCAAAATTCCCTCACTGGAATACGGCTCACAACAGTACAGGTTATTAAACATTGGTTTGATTCATTCTTGGCTGGCAAGTGGGCGCAGGGCTTTTGGAATGGAGTCTATAAATTACAAGGAAGATGAGAAAATTGTATAGCTTCATATGGACAATACTTTGAACAATACTATTGTATTTACATGTGTTTCTAAAATAAATGTTCAAATTAAAAAAAACCAAACCGTAAGATTACAATTATTTACCCAATATAAATACTCGTATACGCACCTTTTATTTTTCCACTGAAATTCGAAAACTTGCTTCTTTTGGAAATCTACAAAATGCAAATATCTAGCACCAGGAACTTTGAAACTTTGAGATGTTGTATTTCGACAAATTCATAGCGTATAGAACTCAACAAAGAAAGGCTATAAAGCCGATAGTGAAGGGTTTTGTTTGTTTTTGTTCTTATATATTTTATTATACTCGAATTTACTCGAAATTTCAATTATTTACTTTAAAACAAAAAAAATATTATTTTGAACAGCAGCATAAATAGTGCCATCATAAGTAAATTTCATAGATGTGATAAATAATTTGTGTAAAGGAAGCATAAAGTCTACGTACTATTCAAAATTTGGTTAAGCACCAGGTAAAAAAGGAACGTCAAATTATACTGTTTATTAAATGTACTGTGCTGCTAGAAACTGCTTTCCGCTATAAAATATAGCAACACATTACACATACTTACATATCTACATACATATATATCTTTCTTCAACTCGAATGGCAAACGGAATTTCTGGGAAGGCCAAATGTTTCGCTGATTGATCAAAGGAAAATGGGCACTGCTTTGCTGATGGCCAGAGTTGAAAGTGTAAAGGAAACATATAATTAATTATTCAAGTGTAATTCTTAACCCTGAAAACACATCCGTTTGTAATCAATATAAAAACTCAAGAAGACAACTTCTACATAATTAAATTTGCCTAGTTTGTATAATAAATACTGTTACGAGTATGTACAAATTTATAGTAAGCTGTACTTACTATCATTCAGTAATTTACAATCTATGCGACAGTTCTTTATGATATTCTGACGCATGAATTCTTGACAACTTAAGACCGAGTTCTATATTTTTTGATGGAGGCGAAGAGAAATGTTTGATTAAGATATGCTGATAAGCTACTATTGTGTTAGACTACAAAAAAAAATATAGCATTCATAATGAATATTTGAAATGTTGCGGAAATATTGTTATATACTGAATTTGGAGTGAAAAATATGAATCTATGTGCTGCAGAAATTTGAGAATTTAAACTACTTTGTCAATTAATTGGTCAAATATCGATCTTCAACAATTTGTTAAAGATAATTTGTTTACGTTTTGATTCTGCCTATTTTCAAACCTTAATAAGAGGTTTCTATATAAGACCGATTTTTTGGTAAAGTAATGCCCAACTCAGATAAAATTTCGTTGCTTAAAAACCCCCAAAATTCTTTAAATCAGTCTGAGTTCGTAGCGTTTCTATGAGAGGTAACCATTGGAAGTTAATATTTAATAGTTAGACCTGCCCCCTAAAAGATATCTGTATGCCGTAAATTTCGTTGGTGTCCGACAATTGGTTTGTGAAAAAAGCATTTTGAATGATCACACTTTAGTATTTTTTTTTTAAACCGGATAAAAAGGTCAATTAAAACATTTAAAAAAGGATTTTGGATGGGTATAAAATCATATTCATCGAGATAGTTGAGGATCTAAAGACATGAAAGGAGTCATATAGTTCCTAAAAGCTCGAGTATGCGAAATTTCTTTGAAAAGTGCCGCAAACTTACAATCGGTTGATTCACCGTGCTCCAAATCAATAAAAACCTTAGTAATATCGCTTTACAATACGAACCTTGAACTCACTGACCGTGCGCTCGTTTAACAAATGACTATCTGCGGCATCGCGTTACTTCTGGGTAAGACTAGTTTGGGTACCCGGTCATAGCGGAATCGCAGGCAACTGTAAAGTTGGCAAGAAATAGTAAAAGAGGATCGGAGCTCCGCAAGAGAACCAGTCAGCATTAGGTTTTATCTAATTGTAGGGGTTCCAACTGGGTCCACGCGGTAACATTTTTTATCCATTTGTTAAAGCTACGTGGAAGAAGATGAGGTAGAAAGATCTTAACACTTTCTTCTAGGTTGTCCCGCATTTGCAAGATCAAATCTAAAACAACTCAGATCTCACGAGTTTAGACATCCAGCTGCCTGTCAGCCCAGCTGAACCCTAAGCGGATTTATAATAGCTTCTCTCTTAAGATGTGTCATATAACTTAAACCCAAACTACTGTGTCTCCGGTTGTGAACCCAGAATTATTTTTCTGTTCTCAGACCTTTGAAATATATCATCAAGATTGTGCTTTCGCTGATAAGATTGGTTAACAGTTGACAGGTTATTAACCGACCTATCCAATTCTGTTGTGTTGACTGGAGCCTCCAGACCTCTTTCGCTAACAAACAGAAGACACCACACGTAGGTGAGGTTGACAAAAGGATGGCATAGGTTATGTATACGCTTTACCATTTCTGATGTATCTTCCTTAATTTGGATGCCCCTCCTGACCCGTCACCGTCTGTAGCAAGAGTTATGGTCACGCACAAATAGAACACCCCTGTGTTCCGAAATTCTCAAAAGAAAATGAGGCTGGCTCCGGCATGTCCTGAGAAGAGATTTAGACACCATCACCAGGAACGCTATCGGTTGGAATGCACAAGAAGCCGATGTAAAGGACGGCGCACTCTAATTCTCTAAGAAATTTGGACTTCGAAAAAACTAAGTTCCAGAAAAGTTGGAGTCAAATCAAGAGGTTAGCACAAACATAAATGGAAGAGTCTCATTGTGACACTTTAATCCCCTGCGAAGCCATAGGATAACATATATATATGTATATATATCAAGACTGTTGTCTATTTCGAAATAAAATAATCAGTGCCTCGCCCTCAATGGCGATGTTTGAGCAACCAAATCAAGTTTTTCCAAAAAAATGTGATATTCTCTACAACAATACGTGTTTTTCTGCCTGTCTATTATTGTACTTGCAAATATGTAACGCATATAGTGTGAAATAATATGAGAAGATCTTAATCTTCATTGATTTCAATTAAAACACATTTATATTTTTCTACATATAATTGTTACTTTTATTATGAATACGTACATATTTCCTGAACGATTTTATATGGTATCCATTTGGTCTTACTCAAAAATATATAGATCTCTAAGTTCGGCGCTCGCATTTTATATCTATACATATTTGAACGAACACCGAAAGTGAATGTCAACGATTAGCAGTGCATTGCACCGCCATTGCAAGGGAGCAGCAGTAATACACTGCTGTAAAAATACACAAGAATTGCAAAAAAAATGTTTTCCTGTTGCATCGTTGAGTATGCGCTCTTTGTTAATTTATTTTATGCCATCCTGTGCCAAATTAAAACTGGATGCAGCTGTAACCCGCTTACGAACGCAGATTCAGTTCTTATTTTACACTTATTTACATATGCATATTGCCTCACATACATTAATATCTTGCTATATCCCAACTGGAGGTGTAAACAAGTTTTTCCGCAACGCGCCCAAATGAGCTGAGCAATAAGAAAGTTGCTTACCAAACCGATCGGTTGGCTGCTCAACGTCTTCGCGTCACTGCATATGGTAATCGTAATCGGGCAGGAATCTCAATTGTTTTTGCAATACTTTCACGTGCACTTTTATGACATTATTGTTGTTGCACACTGAGCGTTGCAAATTTGGCGGTTGCGAGGGTGAAGACTTTAGCCAACTATGGTATATCGAACAAATTCATTTTATGGGTATATTCTCGGGAAAAATTACAAATGGCTTGTTGTTTTTATGTCTAAAATAGAGGTTAATAAACAAAATGCATTGCCACACTTGATTAATTCACTACAAATCATTTATGCGCCAATAAAAATGAGACAGGAAAAAAATAGAATACGAAGTAATAATTTAGTCACGACTCTTCTTGTGAATGCAATATAACTTTTCGCTCACAAAGAAAAAACTATCTATATAAAAAATTGAATGAGCATAAATTCGTAGAGTTCGCGAATAGTTGATTGGGTTGTATTAGCAGAGAGTTCTTTTGTGGTTTTATTATAGGTCAAAAAAAAAAAATTATATTCTTAAAGACGCTACCGAACGTTTGACGGATTTTAATTGTAAGAAAAACTTGTACTGAAAGGGATTTTGTCAGGTTTTTGTATCTTAACATGCGGCTCCCCCTAACTTACTATTCTATTTTTACTTTTCTATTTTGATATTTGATATTTAAAGACTTTATTTAAGTTGGTCTCTGACACTTCTAGTACCAGAACTAGTGTGGTGTTGTAACACACTATTTCAAGCGTTATTCAATCCCGATCGCATTCAGCTTGATTCTACTTAGCCTTACCATAAATTCTCTTACAAAGTTTACAAAGCATACCGTTCTTTATAGATTGATTTAAGTGTAAAAAAATCGCAAGTGAAATTTATGTGCTTCTTAAAAAAGTTAATATTTTGAGAATGACTGCTTACCGCACTATTGATCGTTTTTTCGCAAACTTCTACAGTTGATGACAGAAAGAGAATTGGTCATCTTCACGTGGTTCGGACCAATTCAGCCATACAAATAGTTTCCGAACGTATTCACAGAAATCCACTTAGAAAACAGAAAAGTATGTTAAGGGAAATGAATATATTGACCAGATCAATGCCCAGACTTATTCGAGATGATTTCTACATGAAAGTCTACCGTCGGTCAACTGGTCTTGCTGTTAACGGCAATTAAATGATCTATTTTACAGATGAAAAAATGTTCACTGTTTTTTAATAAGCAAAATTTTAAAATCTACGCAAAAACTTCCATAAAAGCAAAAATTGTTACTCCAAGGGTTCAACGTGGCTACCATCCTGCTGCTGTAACGGTTTAGTAAAGAGTTTTCTGTACAGGCATTACACTTCTTCACTTTTCTGAAAAAGAGATTAAAACGGTGGCAAAAGTGTACCAGGAGGCATGGTCTTCGATGAAAAGCATTGGATCTTCCAGTAAGATTCTACTACAACACACAAATCAAAAAACAGTAGCTTGAAAGCAATATTCCTGGTTTCATAGCTGAAAATGATTGGCCGGCAGGAAGTCCAGATTTCAATCTATTGGATTACAGTTTATGGTCAGAAACGAAGAGCCTGTCGAATACCCCACAGAAATTTGGAGAATTTCAAAAAATCTTTGGTTCGAACAGCGTCGTCAAAATCGATAGAAACTGTGCGTCCTGCTATTGATCAACGACCGAATCGTTTGAGGGCTTATGTGAAACCACAAGGTGACAACTTCGCAACAAATTTCTTATATCGCTCATTTAATATATTCATTTTTAAATAAAACTAACTCTATTAAAAAATGTATTATAGTTTAATTTTTATAATGGCCTGAACTTGTAACAAAATTTGTGGCAGAACTAAGTATATTCATAAATGTGTTCAACCCGATTACGTGGTAAGATACTGAAATTCTAAAATTAGTGGTTAAATCATTACGCCATAGCCCTCTTAATTAATAGCAATACGTAAAAGTAAATAGATGAGTGCACCTAACTCCTAGACCTCTATAGTGTCTATACATATTAAAGCAATAATGTGGATTAATTTAGAAAAAAACTCTGATTGCACACGCCGTCCTTGAGTTACCTAAGTTGGTGCATAAACAATGTATTAAAATAAATTCCTCTTATCCTTCCATATGCTGCAATATGTGTATGCACCAAGGGGCGTTCGGTTGAAAGCGCGTGCAGCTTCGAAGAACAGTTAAATAATAATAAAACAATCGATAAAGAGAACAACAGCGATTGACACTTCGCAGTAAATAAATTTAAAAATGTAACAGCAACCAAAATAACCTAAGCTGATCATCAGCTTGAGTTGCGTATGCAAGAGGTTGTTCGCCACGCCTTTAGATAAAATATTGTTTATTCAGGAGTGAAAAAATTGCAGTATTTTCAATAAAGATAACAATATGTTCAATATGTTCTATAACTAATATATACACCAAGTGAGTTCATATGGGTTCTTAATTCTTTTTCACAACCCTTTAGTGCTATCATGGTATGTAGGTTTACTCATCTACTCCTTTGTTTCTTCCTCTATGCCGTCGTTCACGCTAGCCATGTCCTCCAGTGTAATTTCAGTCAATTCTTGTTCTTCCTCGAAATCACTGCCCTCCATGGCATCGACTAATGTAACACTTTCTAATTTGCTGCCGCTCGACTTCACGGCCAATTTTTGCTCTTTAACTTTTGGCATGCCCACGGTGACAATAGCAGCCGCCGACGTAGTGCTTCTAGATGCCGGTTGTGTGCTAGCGGCTGCAGCGGTCGAAGTAATTGCAGCGCTTGTTTCTGTCAATTTCTCACCAAACATTGGATTGTCGAAGGCGCGCTCTCTTACTTGACCGCTTTCGGCATCGTAGCCCATCGTAGGGCCATCCGTTACATCGGCGTCAACGCCACCAGCTGTCACATTTTCAAAACGAGCAAACATGACAGATGAACGGAGCAAGAATGCACGCCAACGGTTCGGATCATAGATCCACTGTGGCACATGATGCAGATAGCGATGGTCTGGTGCATATTGCGCGAACATTACTAAAGCTACCACAGACACAAATGCCAGGCAAAGAATGATCAACAAGATGGAACCGAAGGTAATATTCGGGTTGTAGGGACGCCCAGATGCGATCATTTCCAGTTGATGTGGCCCCTCAAAGAGTTTTGACCAATCAGTTGAGGCATTTAAACGCGCCATAAAGCGCACACTTTTCTCACTATACCCATCCCGATCGACTATTATTGCCTGCAAGTAATTTCCTTGAGACATAGTTGATGAATCAATCCAAATCTGCACATAGTTGACGTGGTAATCCAAATCTGCGGTGAGTTCTTGCTCCTTAATAGCGGCGACAATCACTTTGCGCAATTTATTCAAATTTCCCTCACTACAGTATTCCATGGAGAAGCGTAATATAGAGCCACAAATCGGACAGCAGCTTTCGAGGGGTGTTACCGGCACTAAACAGTGCGGTCGTTCGCAAGTTTCAATGACATTCTTACAAACCGGTTCAGTGTACAAGTACGCGTCCAGTTGGCAGCCGCAGGTATCCTGATGATAATATTGCACCATTGTGCCATAGCTATTTTTGAAAAGCAGCTGCCCAATATCAGTGTGTATTAAATAATTCAAATAATCGCTAGATATGAGGGAACCAGCCAAATTCAAATGACCCATCCTTAAGTAAGCAATGTACTCCAAATCAACCGAAAGTGGTCCTGTGCGTTGCATCACCACGGTCTCATTGTCACAAGGTATGCGCTCCAAATGCGGAATTGCTGTATTTTTTCCAAGCGCTGTGGTGCTAATCCAACTACTGGGATCGTACCATTTCCTCGTTAAGGGCATTTTCAAATAAGCACGGCGATTGCGCCCATTTTCACATTCTCGCTTCTGTAATTCACCGCCTAATGTTATAGTGGACTCGTCGCTAAACATAATGGCACCATCACGTGGCAGCACCAATCCGCTGATGTCGACTTTGTTAGGAAGTGGAAGCACGGCCGGATATGTTTCGGGAAAAACTACTTCCTCAAGTGCACAAGGCAGATAACCAGATTCCCAGGCATCAGCATTATCGAAACCAGGATTCCCCTGGAGCCGTTTATTACTGCTGCTCTCAGAAATGGTCAACAACAGTGTTAATAATTTTAAAATTATTTCTATCATTTGGATGAAAACACTTTGAAACGAGGGCAGAAACTAAATTGTCTGAGTAGAAGAAGGCTAATGGTGCGCATATTTTTACTAATAGGGGCGTATTAAATAAGTGATACGACAGCTGATAAAAGCATATATTGGTGTTGTACAAAGAACTAAATATGAATATGTTTATAGGTACTCATATCTTAATATACATATATGTCTATGTGTATAAGTAGCAACCGCATCTGCAACCGTTTGCATCTCTTTGTTATAGTTTTCTGGTTTTTTTTATACTCTGAACAGGGTATATTATGTTTACAACACCCAAGAGGAAACGTCGGAGACCCTATAAAATATATATTCAAATGACCGGCATCTGAGCTAAGTCGATTTAGCCAAGTTCGTCTGTCTATCCGTCTGTATATACGCTAACCAGTTCCTCGGTTATTGAGATATTAAACTTTGCACACGTGCTTTTATCCCTAAGAAGTTTCTCATTTGTCGGAACCGCCGATAGCAAGTTGTTGTGTGGAAAACTTTTTAATTTAAGAAGATATATTAAATTTAACATGGATTCTTTTCTAAACGGTACAATCTCCAGTAAAAAAGACACTAAGCATACAGCTCCGTTTGTATGTGACCGCTTAAAGTTGTTGTATGGAAACTTTTTTTATTTGTGATGCTATAATATTCGATGCAACCGAGGTTAACGTTATTTCTTGCTTCATCCCAAATCATCTCAAGTTCCATCCATTCATTTTAACAAACGGTTTCATTAATATGCTCTGGTTCTGGTTCAATACTTCTTACTTGTGTAATTGCGCTCCTGTATCATTTTAATTTAACATGTCTGTTTCCGGCACATGTGTTAAAATTGTTTGTGCGAAACAGTTTGAAAACCTATGTATACTCCTCGAACAGAGCAGAGAACGTATATCATAATATAATATACGTTCTCTGTCTACGCAACGCTTGAGTGCCACTGTAGTATATCATATGATATACGTTCTCTGCCATTACCACAAAGCTGTCACTTAATTCCACATTGCTTGTTTTGCTCCGCAACAGAGAATTTACAAAATTCTCTGCTTCGTCTATTAACTTCTCGCATTATACATTTCATTGATTATTTTTGTGTGCATCGACACGGTTTAGTGGACGCGAGTTCCAAGCTTGTTGTTTATTGGAAGCGCTATTAAACGTTATTAATTGAATGAGTGCTTGTGATATTGAAGTGTAAAAGTGGACACTAGTGTATAAAACAATATAAATACGCTTTTAATCGCTAATAAGAAAATATCGCGCAAAAATGGTTAAAAATAAGTCGACGACCGTGCACGCTGCTGATGCCTTGAATCTAGGAGTTTATAAAGCGTTACGTATTTTAGTACATTTGACAGCGGCTGTGCAGTTCGCGTATGGAATCTATTATGATTTGAACTATGTAGAGTTTCCCGAAGCGATGCGCCATCCTTTCGGAGGAAAATTCAAGTATCTAACATTTCTTGATGCGGTAATTTAACAATAAATATTTGGTTAGACACATTTCAACTGTTATAGAGTAAAATTTTGCTAATGTTTTCAAAATGATATGTAAAAGTAATGCTGTTATCTTATCTGAAATTTGTTTTTATAAAAACCAATCGATCGAGATAGTTACTGAACGAGGAGGTGGTAGACACTAGGTCATCGTATTTGATACTATTTTAACATTTCTCTGCCATTTCTCTATCATGTTTAATTAGTGGACATTAGAAAAAAGGCTCGGAATGAAAATAATTGCTTAAGGGGGCAGAAGGGTTAATTCGTGTAGAACAAGACCCATTTTTTTTAAATCTTAATGAATGTCTTAATGAAACAGTTAAATTGTATTTTAAAAACACTACATTATAATATGGTGCTGGAGCATCTAAAATCAAAAAATTACATTACATCGTTAGATAATCGCTTTTAACAGGTAACGTCGAAAAATGTTTCGGAATTTAAATTTTTGATTTTTTGGAAACACTCTGAAGAAAAAAACGCGATTTTTCGCAAAAAAATTAGTTTAATTGTTATTGTAAAATAAAAATATTATATAAACAAATTTGGAAAAACTAATGTAAAACATTCTTAAGACAGGTATAAAAATACTCATAACTTTGTCAATTTTGATTCAATTGATCAAATTAAGACACAACGTTCCTGAGATATTATGAATTAATTTAAGAAAAAATAAATAAAATTAAAAACCCACTTCCCCCTTCAATGCAATACAACCAATAAATGTTAGCTCGAATGGAACATTACATAAAAGGCCATATAGAAAAGAAAACCTTGTACGTAAGCTTATTGGGTCGGCTTCACAGAATTTACTGAGAACACCTTCAACGCACTATCCATTCCTACGGACGTCATCGTTGGCGAGCGTCAATTCCGCAAGGTGATCGCTGCTGCTACAGCTCGCTTCATACCGGCTGGAAGAATAGCGGAACTCCGCCCTAATTTCCCATCCGAAGCAGCTGTATTAGCAAATGAGCGCGACACCTTACGCCATGCCGATCCCTATGATCCCCGAATAAGGGATCTCAATTTGGAGATTCGGCAAATGGTAAACCATCATAAGCGGACAAAATGGATAGAGCACCTGAAGTCCTGCAACCTCTCCACCGGTGTGAGTAAGCTTTGGACTACTGTCAAGGCCCTGTCAAATCCGAGGAAACATGACTCCGAGGAAGAATGAACGACGAAGCCCCCACCAGAATTATGGGCACCTGTAATAGCTCGCCAGATATTACCATCGCTAGCGGTGGTCTGATAAATAGTATAACCTGGCGACAATTCCGCAGCTGCTACCGTTCGCTTCATCCCGGCTTCAATTTCCCATCCGAAGCAGTTGTTTTAGCTAACGAGCGCGACACCTTACGCCATGCCAAACACTCCTATCCCAGAATGAGGGATTTCAATTTGGAGATTCAGCAAATGGTAGACCAGCATAAGTGGACAAAATGGGTTTAACACTTGAAGTCTTGTAACCTCTTCACTGGTGTGAGTAAGCTTTGGACTACTGTCAAGGCTTTGTCAAATCCGAAGAGACATGACGATCGGGTTGAAACCCAATTCGATGCCTTGTTACCAGACGGCTGCGCAAAATGCCAAAAGACTGCGCCAAACTTACTTTCACCGATGAAGAGATTCGAAGTATCATCAACAAGGCGAAATCATCAAAGTCCATTGGTCTAGAAGCAATCAACATGCTGATGTTACAACGCCTAGGCTCGGCGGGAGTACACTTTTTAATCAAGGTCCTCAACCTGTCGCTGACCTCTCTTCAAATACCCGATGTGTGAAAAGTCGAAAGAGGGATCCCACTACTGAGACCCCTCTTCCCAGTATTAAAGACACTTGAGGCCTTGCCGCAAAGTACGCAGTACCATCACAGCACTTAGCGCCATAAATGTCCAGAAACCAAAAGCCACCTTATGAGAGTACGATCCTCATAGCGTTGGACTTGTTAAAAGCTTTTGACACAGTCAACCATACAAAGCTACTTGAGAACATTGAACAATCCACACTCCCTCCAATGTTAAAGTGGTGGACTATGAACTACCTGACCGCCATTCACAGTGGAGCTACCAACATCTTCACCGACTCTTTTTCAGTGAATGGCGTACTTGGAGTCAAATCACCACCGTTTGCAGAGGAAGAGCTCGAGTTGTCACGATAATCTAAAGACCATTGCCCAACTTCGTTCTGGATACTGTAGCAGAACTCCTACATGTCCAGTATGCAATGAGTTCCCGAAACCTTATTGAACTAACACCTTTCTCTCCTTATGGTCCGACCCCGTTGAAACAGCACGTTTCCTGAACCTGCCGTTAGATGAATTCGATGATAATCAACCTGAACCTTACCACCCAAGTATAATTATCAAGGCGTTATAATAAAATTGGAATGTATATTTTTGACGAAGCTTGCTCAGGTTGTTAAAGTGTATAAATTCGTTGGCTTCAGTTTCTATTGGCTATATTACAACTTTTTGTGAAGATTAGCCTGCTGAGTGCCGACATGCAAACATACATACCTGTATAAGTGCAAACATATGTATATATGTGTATGTATGTATGTATTGTATATAAAACACATACATATATACATGACATAAATAAAATGGCAAATCATTTAAAATCAGTTGAAATAATAGTTAATCATCATGATAAGGATATTTCTAATCTAATCTGATTTCATTATTTATTTCTCAGTTCGGCATCCATCTATAATTTTCAAAATGTCTTTGCCCAATTTTTTGTCTTTGTTTGGTCACACTTAAGTACAAAAAATTGAACTTTAGCTCAAATTAAGAGTATTTGTATACTAAATATGCATAATTAATAATGTAATTGGGTAATAAAAGCTAATTTCCGCTATGTATGCAAATACTGCGTTAGCCCAAGGTTCAATAAGTTGTAAAATATTATTGCTTATTGCGCTTTCGCACATGACTATGTTTGTTATTGTAACACAAAATAAATTTTTTTTGCTCACCGTTTAATGCCATTTAATTTGCATTTGCAGATCATCCAAACAATCTACTACGTTATATCACTAATAAATGATTTTTTGGGAACCAACGAAGTGGCGCCAAAACACACACCCACTATACGCAAAGTTAAAGACTATCTAATGTCAGCTTTAGCCTTCCCAGTGGCGTTGAACGTGGGCATCACATTTTGGACACTATATGCCATAGACCGCGAATTAGTCTTACCCCGTGTGTTGGATCCAGTGTTTCCAAGGTAATTTTGAAATCATAAGTATTTATTTATATTTAAATTTCTAGAAGGAATTCCATTGAATTTATATAACTAACGAATTTTAAGGGGCTAGGTGTAGTCAGAGACATGACAAAATTACATTTTTATAATTTTTTTTGCAGTTAATTATTTGATTTTATTAAACGTAAAAGCATAGCATCCTTAAATAAGGTCTCGACTTGACTCGGCAGACTGTTTGTCTTGATCTTGTTCCAACCGAACTGCTTGCGTTGACCAACACTAATCCTTAGATTTAAACTTTTATTAATATATAACACTTCTTAACAAATCTGAATACAGTATTTGCGACTAATGTGCCAAGAGGTCTGTGGAGGTTATTTAAGGTGTCCTGATTACAAATTTGAGTTAAAAAATTTTCCAAATTTTTTTAGTATATGACTTGACTACAACCCAAAATTAACAAGAAACAGCCTCTAACATTACAGTCGCAGAAATACTGTAAACTAGTGTAATCTAGGGCCTGATCGAAGTTTTTTTAAATAAATAGTAGCCTCAGAGATCAACAGTTAATTGTTCATAAAAACTGGAAATTAAAAAGAATCCTTTGATCATGCACTAGAATTTCATGTTTTCAAAAGGCTATACATTTAATTGAAATCTTTCGAGCTACAGTGCTTATTAGTTCAAAAACCATAGCTTTGAGAAAAGCGAGTAAATTGAAAAGTATTGTCGGATTTACTATTTATAGAATATTTCTAAGATATTATTGTGTAAGAAAAACCCAATTTTTTTTAATTTTAACTACCCCTAGCCCCTTAAATACAGAACAATTTTTAAGACACATATATTATATTGCGTGTACATAAATAATTTAACACTTCTCTTCACAGTTGGCTCAATCATGTTTTGCACACCAATGTCGTGGTATTTATGATACTGGAACTTTTCACTTCATTCCGCGCTTATCCGAAACGCAGCACGGGCTTAGCCGGCCTCTCAGCATTCATAGTCAGCTATCTAATTTGGTTGCATGTTGTCAAATATTATTCCGGCTTTTGGGTCTATCCGGTTCTTGAGGTGCTGCTGCTACCGCAACGCATTGTCTTCTTTGTTGCTGTAATCACAATTACATTATGTTTGTATCTGTTTGGCGAATTCATGAATAACATTGTTTGGGAAAAAGAACTGAAGCTGGCGCAACGCAAAGTCAAATAAATAACGCTTGAACGCGGATATTTCGTAAAATATTATATTTGAACGCTTTGATTCGATCTGAGCTGCCATATCTACACATGAGCAGTCGTAAAACAACTGGAGTAGAGAAAATCCATTTAGAAAAGATAAAGAAAACAAAATTCTTATGATATTTTAAACTTAAAGCTTTGCATGAATATTTCTAAAAATGTATTTAGTATATGCTGGTTTGTATGTAACCAAAAAAATAACAAAAACAATTCTTACCAAAATAAATTATATTGTATGTAGTCAATTCCTTTAAATTTATTAAAAACTTGAAGTGCATATTTACTAAACATATTATTCCCTGTTGAACTCAGCTGATGCAGCAATTAAAATTAAATATATATTTATAGTCATTATAAATAATATTCTTTAATTCAATCATTCAAATCATTTGAATTATATTGCATCAGAATCGAACTCGAATAAAATATGCAGGAAGATATTAAGGCACTTACACTCATATCAGCGCACTGAGGTTCGTTTTAAAATTGTTATTCTATAAACTAAAAGTAATTAAAACAATCTGATTAAAATATAATAAATTCATTTAAGTATAGAAGAGTTGCACTGTTATTGATTGTTTTCGGAAAGTAGCAGAAAATACAATTGTCGGGTTTACGTAAACCGAAACGGACCCCGATTTTATTTGGCTAAGGACTGTCAACTCGGCAAAATACTGCCGCCACAACAACAATAACTTCGAATCTATAGTTACTATCCTTCACACATACCAAAGATTTAAACTTGATTTTGAAGGATCGGTTTGTATGACAGCTACATATATGCTATAGTGGTTCGATCTGAGCAATTTCTTCGAAGATTGTTGGCTTGGACAAAAATCCATGCACAATTTTGTAAAGATATCTCGTCAAAAAAATTTTCCATACAAGGACTTTATTTCGATCGGTCAGTATGTATGCCAGCTACATATATGCTACAGTGATCTAATATCGGCGGTTCCGACAAATGAGCAGGTGTGAAAAATTTCAAATCGATATCTCAAAAACTGTAGGACTAGTTCGCGTATATATAGAAAGGCGGACGGATAAACGGACATGGCTAAATCAACTCAGATTGTCATGCATGATCCCTTATATATACATATTTATGTATGTATGTATATATTTTTATAGAGTATCCGACGTTTGCTTCAGGCAAATTTCGTAGCAAATTAATATACCTTGCTCAGGTATAATAATTCGATTTTATTTATTTCAAAAAACTTATTTTATATTAACGAAATAGAATAGAAAGAGAAATACGAAGCGCGAAAGTAATGCAAATGTTAAGTAACATGAAAGTCAATCAAATCTGTCAAATGGAAAAAATTGCATTGTTTCTACTTTGCTGAAGGCATAAACATAGCGGACATACACATATGTATAATGCGATTTTGAAAATTTCTATTCGATTCTGTTTACTAATTTAACTTATTTGAGATTGGTTTTAATTTTTGCAATCAGTGCAATACTAAATTGTTTAAATGGCTTATTATAGCGCTTTTTTATTCGAACACATACAATTAATTTTTGTTTTCATTTACTATGCTCGTTTTGAAACCGGTAAGTAAACCCAGAGAACACATCAATTCTTTCTTCTCATTATTGTACGTTCTCTGCGCGTGACCTTTACTAACATTTCACTAATTAATTTGTATGCTCAAAAACGTGTATGTGTGTTATCTCTTGAACAGTTTGGAAACAAATGTAAACGAAAGTGACAAAACTTGGAAAGATGTGATTGTATTGGAGCATACCAGTTGCCAAGTGGCAGATAATAAAAAAGTACCTGTAGTATTTAAGTGAATTTGGTTTGGAAATTTGGAAAATTACTACCAAAGATGACAAAAAGTAAGAAACGGCTAAAGGAAGAGCTGGAGGCGAAAGCGCAGAACGCTGTTGTAGAGGAACGTCTAACAACAACAAATGATGCGTATACACAGGTTAATTTGACGACATGTTTCGAAAATACGTACAACTGAAACTATTTGGTTTACTCCATTATTATTTAATTAAAGGGTGCCTTCTGTTATCTCCGCTTGCTTACACACACTATAGGATTGCTGCAATTTACCTATGGCATCTACTACCATTGGTTCAATGTGCATTGGCCGCAGCACTTGCAGGATGAGGAGGAGTTGAAAACACGTTGGGGTGGGAAATTTAAATATCTCACTTTTCTCGATGTGGTTTGTATTTGTCAGATCGTAAGTTTTAATTTCCATATGTACTTATGTATCCTCGTCGTTCTGTAGATAGTGCAAGCTCTTTATCACTTAGTGGCTTTGCTTAATGATATTATGGGCTCTAATGCAGTAGGACCGCCACGTGCAATGCCTGGAATCCGTAAACTTCGAGATTATATGTTTGCTGCTTGGGCGTTTCCCATCGCACATAATGTGTGCATCTCTTTTTGGATTATATACGCTTACGATCGCGAACTTATCTTCCCATCAGCGCTGGATGCAATTTTCCCAAAGTAACTATGTGTTTTAGTTTAACACTTTTTATTTAAACACGTACTTGTAATATCCCTTCTCTAGCTGGCTCAATCATATCGTTCACACAAATGTGGCGATGCTTGGCATACTCGATATGTTTACTTGCTTTCGTCAGTACCCCAGTCGTGTAGCTGGACTCACTGGCACTGTTGTATTTATGGTGCTTTACCTTATTTGGATGCACATTGTACGTTTCTTTTCGGGGCATTGGGTATATCCACTGCTGGAAGTTCTTAATCTACCGATGCGTTATTTTATGCTAAGCGCCTTGCTAGCTTTTACTATATGCTGCTATTTCTTGGGTGAATTTATGAATAATACTATTTGGAGTCCAGAATTACGTTTGCTGAAAATAAAGCACGCCAAAAGTGAATAAGTGGAATACATACTTATGTATGTATTTGCGCAAGCAAAAAACAAACAAAAAAATCCATACAGTTTGACCGCTGCAAAATCTAGTTATAAACAACGAAAGTGTTGTTGTATTATGATTTGAGTAGTCTTACACAGTACCGTTTTTATTGTATATATTATTAAAACGAATACAATTTTCATGATGTATAATTTTTTATAAATACAATAGGATTCTACGTTTGAAAATGTTCAAAAAATCTTAAGGCACTAACTAATACAATGTTCATACGTAGAGTTACGAAAATCTGTTTTACGCGAAAATCTTTGTTTTTTATTTATTTATTAATTGCTACTATTTTTATATTTGAGCATTTCTCGTTGATTCATGCAGTAAATTAAGTATATAGAAAAATTTATAAAAATATTTCCTGTTTTTTCACTTTAGTTACAAAATTGGTACTTATATACTATTAAAGTAGAATTGTAATCTATGTTACAAAAAGACTATGTAATAAATATATGCTTAAATCAAATCAAGTCAGTACAGAAGTTTTATAGTATATGAGTATATAATAAAAATCCATAAATACATATAAATGCAATATTCGTGATTACGGGTTCAAAATGAGTATTTTTCAGATAATATTCACGTTATATAAAAAAAAAACATGCAAAACGAAGCGCACTAACGGTAATTCAATGAACTACCAAGTTAGAAAACTATAATAGTGCATTAAACATAAAACACTAACTTTTATATTTAGTACTAATAACACTTTGCCGTATATTATGCGCTGCTGCACATTTAACTTTCGTTGACAATGACCTTATGCGAATTTCTTAATTATTACTTTCTTTCTTTTTGAGATTCTATTTTAATTTACTTCGATGGCAGCAACAACAACTTCAACTTTTCCGACTCGCTTAAGAGCGTTGTTTCCCTGTGTTTCTTATTGTTGTTTCGCAACAAAGTATGCATTTCGGTGGCGTCGACGGCTTCATTAGCGTAATCATTTTTCTGTTTGGCGCTCTTCGCATTCAATTGCCGCATTGCCAACTTCAATTCGTCTTCGTCATAGGAAGTTAAATTGTGCGTTGCTATTTCGAAGGCATTCGCTTGTATGCCCACATCACAACTCGTTTTGCTGTTGCGCGAGTTCGGCTTGCCTGTAGAGTGCGCCGAGTAGGAGCTGTGTAATGTCAAACCTAGCGGTAAGTCGAGTTCGGAAGAAGTGCACGAAGAGGTGATGGAATCACCAATTTCAACAATGCCGCCACCATTGAGATCACGCGTTAAATGCAAATTCAAATCAGATATATTCAGTAGATCATCCTCATCGTTGCTGTGGTTGTGTAGCACAGCCGTCGAGGCACCATTCGAGCGCATTGAATTGTGCTTTCTGCTCTTGTTGCTGCGCTGTGAACGACGATTCTTGCTGTTAGCAAGCACGGCGGCAGCGGAGCATGTTGCACCGGTCCAAGTGTTGGTCGCCTGTGATTTCCGCGAATGCCGGCTACGTGTGGAGTTGCGTGAATTGCCATTACCGGCTGATTCATTCGATTTTTGCATATTCTTTAACAGATTCTCTAAAGCGATTTGTTTCTTAATATTGCGTTCGTTTGTATCGGCGTTTATTTCTTCGATACGTGGACCTGCATGTGCATGAACCATATTGTTTTCGTCATTATAGTTTGAATCGTCACTTAGATCCTGTTTAAGCAGTACATCTAAGCGAGAATCTTGTATTTTGAAGGAGGTATGTGAATTTTCCTCCTCGGAAGAGCTGCTTAAACCTTGCTGCTGCAGGAAAGGCATAAGCAACTGACCGTTTTTGGCCAAAAATTCGCTGATATCGGCCGGATCCAAACCTGTGAAGACGCAAAGGGTATGCCGTTATATTGTAATGTATTGTTTTTGTATAAACTATTTATATGTGTACTCACCAGCATTGGCGCTGCGTCGCTTCATCATTTTGCCGCCGTGCGTATGGTGTTTTTTTGTACTTTGCTGTGCAAATAAACCGACTTTGTGACTGACATTTGGATATGTGGTCTTTTTTAAGGCAATGACTTGCGACTCTATGGAGGTACTGCTTTCGCGACGTCCACTATATTTGCGCCCAGTTGTAGCTGCCGATATAAAGTCACGACGTTTATGCGAACGTTTATTGGTGGCAGTTGCATGTTTACTACTATGGTGATGGTGATGATGGCCATTGCGTGTGCGTGAGGCGACTTTTGTTTTCATTTCGGCGATTTTTACAGACACCTAAATATTTAGATATCAAAATTTATAAATGAACACCATACGTTACTTAAGAGCTAACAGCAGTTACCTGAGAGTCCACAGAATTCCGTCGTGATTCCACAGAAACATGACGTACACTAAAACTTATCTCCGAGTCCACGGAGTTTTTGCGAGGTCCTTGACTGGAAGAGTTTGTGGTGCCCGCACCGGTGAGTGCCATCCGACGTTTTATACATAGTGGCAAATAATTCACCCATGTTGAACTGATTTCATTGGTTTCAGACGAGTTCAAATCATTTACATCAAAATTCAAACCTACAGGGTCGGTGTGCGTGTTGTAAAGTGTTATGGATAGCCTACCCTTATCCTCGAACTCTTTGCGTTTTGCCCAAGTTTGAGCGATAACCTTGTGTTTTGGCATTTTTATACCTTCCACAACTTCCTTTCCGCATTTCCTACGATCATATATAAAAGTTGAATTAAAACGATTTTTATAACAAACTTATAAAATGCTTACTTTCTTATGTAACGACGCCAGGTGTCAAGCGACGATGGTGTCCAGCACCAAGTAGACATGACAATCCCCGAACCAAAAAGGCAGATCAAATGAAGTTGCAACAACGCAATGCTAGGGCGATTTTCAATTCTGCACTTTTCATCGGTTGAAATGCGACAACTGAAATAGTAAATTGTGAATAAATTTCCCGTCTTCAAATTTCACCATGATTTACTTACATTATGAATTTTCCAAGACTTTCAGCCCATTCGTGTGAATGCTTAAACTCGTTTACATGACAAGCAATGGCTACTAGTATGAAAATGAGTGTAAATATCGAACACACACCCATTCTTACAATAATCAGATGTATCTTATTGCTTGCCGATGTTGATTTAATATCGTTAGCAAAATGTTTCAGTCCAAATAGCATTATCATGCCGCGTGTAACAAAGTAACCACCAACCAATATAACACCACACAAAGGGCCCAGCAATAACGCTCCCCGCATGGGATGATTTAGGTAACCAACAAAGCAAATGCCAACCGTACTGTTGCCGTCCACTTCGCTCAGCGCCATTGTGGTAATGGTAAGCACAAGCGGTAGTGACCACGCAACCAAATGGAAATATGAACCTTTCTTATCAATACGATCCTGAACGTTGCCCACTGCACGTAGGTGCCAAGTGTAGGTGAGGAAAACAAACCAAACCATGGCTGCGGTAAGAAAGTAGTAGACAAGCACAAATACAACAATGCAGGATAGATTTTCACCAGCAGTAGGTTCTGAATGTCGCAGCGTACCATCTTTACGACAGACGATATCCTCCCGTGAACCTGGTGTGAATTGTGCCAGCCAACTATGATTAAAATTTGATTATACGTTTTTTTAATAATAGTTTTTTACATTCATGGACTCACCCCAAACAGGAAATCATAAAGCACAAATTTATGTAAAACACAATCAACGCTGGGTATTTATTAGCATTCTCCCAGTCAATAATAAAAGTGGCTACTACAAACAAATTAGCTAAGAAGCATAGAGTGCCAAGCCAGCTGATCAATTTGTGAATTTGTCGGTGCTCATCATCTGTATACAAAGGATCTTTGCATTGTACACCACAACCTTCAACGCCGGGATAGTAACTGCTGCTGGAATCGGCTGGCACCAGTGGTGGCAAACAGCTACCTGTTGCATTGAATTTCATTTCCTGCACATCGTTGGTGCACTTGGGTGGAAACAAGGTCTCATTGCAACGTAGAAATTCGGGGAAATACGAGGTATTGTAGAGTATGCGACATGGTTCCCAAGTTTTGCGACACATTTCCACTGAGGGTAGATAAACCATGTCCTTGCCATTTATTTGTTCACACTTTGGCATAAACACAGAGCAGAGAAAAGGCTAAGCGAAATGTTGTGGATTAAATTTCTGTATTTTTATAAATTATATGAAATGTGAACTTACCTGTATTACGGCCCAACATTTCGGTACATGTCTGAGCGCACGATAACTACTTAAATGCTTTAACATTTGATCTTGGGTTTGGTAGTCGGTGAGATCTAAACTAGTTAAACTATAGGGAATTTTAGTACCCAAACATGTGCTATTTACGAGTCGTTCGCAACGACCCTGACGCACACATTGTGTATGTTGCATATCCAGGCCACGCCCGTCGAACCAAGGCTTATTGTCACGATTCTTTTTACCATTAATTCGATAATTTATTGTACCATTTATGGGCTCCAAATCGGTTTGTATAGTCACTGTGGTGGTGGATGTGTATGTCGTAGCGAGTGTGTTAGCATTCCGTGAGGAGACATCTCCTAACGTTGTAGATAGCTGAATATAAACGCTTAGTAACAAAAAGCAACTTAACTGCGTTGCACTCCACCTGTCCATAGCACAATATAGTTTTGTCTTCCTAGAACAATGGCAAACTTTGCTGTTGAGTTATACCATGTAAAATATTATCAAAACTAACTTACAAGCAATTTAGTAAAAAATTGGCATAAACCAAAAGTACTTTATTGAATTTCACGTAACATTTTTAATTCATATTATAAAAGACGTGCACAAAATACTAATTTAAACCAAAATACGAAAGAGAACAAAACTCACTTCAAACCGCGGAAATAAATTCTTAGAAAATTAATGCCAGGCAGCGATACAATGGACCACCCGGGATGCGAAAGAGAGAACAAAAACTAAAACACAAAATATGAGAGAATACAAAATAGAGTTACCAGACCGATATAGCGCTGGATGAGCCATATCAATTGAAAATATATTCGTGAAAGAATCGATGTACACTCACTCATCTTTTAAAGAAAGTATATTTTCTATTTTAAAGCATGAAACACAAAAGAAATTAACTAAAAAGCAACTTAAGTTGGATACCAATAGTATTTTGCTAATTATAATCAGTGTTGCGGATTTTTAATTAATAAATTATTAAAAATACAGGGGAAACTTTAGTATACCACCCCACGATTTCAAGGTTAAGAGGTATGGTTGGATAGAGGAGATTCTCCAGATCACGAATATATATAATTGCCGCCGGAAACTTATAGTTTCCGAGATATTTGCATTTTAAGTTGAAAATTTCACAAATTCTATTTTAGAATTTCTCGATTTATGGTTAACTTTTCTTTTATATAATATTATGCACTTATTATACACTAACACTTCACTACAATGTTTCTACATATTTATTTTATATTAATTAATTAAATATTTGCTTTAAATAAGCATTTTATTTTTAATTTTCGTTATACGCACAATAACAAATGGGTTCCATATTGACAGATAATAAGTGTTGCCATATCCAAACGAATGAAAGCAATCAAGATAAATAAAATACCTAATTACCCTCTACAAAATTAACTTATATGCACAATATTTACCAATTGAATGACAAAACGGACAAAAAAAGAAACGATACCTTGTTTAGTTGTAACAATATCCGTTATAATCCGTTATAGAAAATGAAATTTAAAGAGTGATATACCCTCTTTAACATTACATGCTTTTAGATTTCCTATTTGCATTGGCGGCTTTCGGCAGCGCTTCAAAAAAATAACCCTGGCCGATCCAATACCGTGGTGGTCGTTATTCCAAACGCGTCCAACTTTTTCTGCAATGAAAACGATTTCCATGCAAGCACTTGATTCCGATCTTTTAGTTTTATTACAGCTATATGCTATAGTGGTCCGATATCGGTGGTTCTGACAAATGAGCAGCTTCTTGGAGAGAAAAGTTCGTGTGCAAAATTTTACAACGATATCGATAAAAACTGAATTACTAGTTCGCGTGTATACAGACGGAAAGACGGACCGGCATGGATAAACTCAGCTCGTTATGCTGATCCATTTATATAGGTATATATATTTCCTTTTGGATGTTACAAACTTCGTGGCAAACTTAATATACCCTGTTTAGGGTATAAAAATATAAACCAAGGTAATGTGATATCCTAATGTTAAAAAAATATTCAAAAACATAATCTACAAACAGAGGAGAGAAACAAACATCCATCTCACACTTGTAAACCACCAGAATTCCCGTCCGTCAATCATAAATTCCTGTGAATATGTGCATTCATCTGCATTCAGTGCCCAGTGCCCCTTTGCCAGTTGGCCACGGCTATCTTAACTGCCATGATTTAGTTCATTTACCTAATTAGCGAATGCGGCGGCCCAATCACTGGCCGACAATGCAGCTCAATGTATCGCATTAGTTATGGAATAACCATCGACTAATTGAGGTTTAGCAGTAAGTGCATCATGTAGAGAAACCGATTTAGTGGTGGGGTGCACATCGGTAGTAGGTGAAGACCGTTGTTTGTTAGAGTGGCGATTAGGGTCAAATATTGGAGGGCGGGGAAACGAGTTGTTCGCTTTCCGAAGAGTGCGTGGAGAGAGAATCATGTATGAAGGGACGTACATCAGTAGGTGTATGTGGAAGTAACACAGTAATTTAGGCTCCTACAAATGCTAAGCAATTCAATTAGAGCTATAAAATCAAAACCACGTTGTATACAACATATCCATCACTCTAAAGAGAATTATTAAAACGCAGTCTGAGTTACCCTGATTGTAAGCTTATTTTTAACAATTAATCTGGAATATCCATAAGTAACAATAAAAATACAGATATAAATGAAATTAAGAGTAATTTACTTTACGGCAGAATGATATGTTCGAAAATATCGAATGGCTTCAGAAAGTGTGGGCACATTAAAGTTTTAAATACGCACTTACAAACATTTTGGCTATTTGGATTTTCTGTTAATCATTCCCATGCCTGATTGGCGGCCAAATACAGTGCGAACAAGGTCTGTACATTCATTATGTAATGGACCTGTGTTTCTACAGGCCCCTCCACCTCGAACTGTTGGCACAGTGTGCGGACATAACGCGCAATGTCCTCATCTTCCAGACACTGCTGATACGCTTGTTGCACCGCTTCACTAGCATCAGCGTACGAGCGCGGCCAGTTTATCAACAAGGGTTCAATCTCTTTGCGCGGTTGTATATCATTCACCGTTTGGGTCATATGCAATTTCTCGACCTCATTAATCCACTTGTCAATTTCCTTGGGCGATTTGGCAGTTGGAATCAATGAAGCCGATGCAGAGCGCGCGATAGAACCACTGCCAGTGAGCACCGAACGCAATTTCATATTAAGCAAACTCGGCTCCGATTGTTCGCCGGATGGTTCGTCAAGCAGATAAATACCCATTTTATGTAAATACTCATCGATTTCTTGCTGACGTTGAGGCTTCGATAGTGGCGGTATGGTGACCTTGAGAAAGGCGTCCACATCACCGACGGATGGTACAAAATCCGGTATGAAAGGTTGCAGGCGATAAGGTGTATCAATAGATTGCGGTGTATATTTTAGTATGTGTGGAAAGAGATCTTTTAGCTCCTGATTTACTGCTAAGTTTTCCCAATATTCAGGTTTGATGGACAACTCTAGCTCTGGGGGAGACGATTGTACTGCTCCGGCATCTCCAATAACTTCAATTTGCGGTTGTGGGGAAACGGCTTCATCTGATTCACTTTCGGATGGCACAATGAGTCCACTACCACCACCACTACGCATGAGAGGCTTAGCGGACAATACATTGGCAGTACTGCGTGCGCTGCCCGGACGAGTCTGTGGACGTTGGTTAGCTGTGCCTCGTGCTGATCCTTCTATTAAACGCGGCTGAATTTCACTTACATCGTCGTCATCATCATCATCATCCTCGTCATCGTGATCAATAATATCCTGCAGTAGTCCATCATCGTCGGTTGAGCTACCATGCAGCTGCTATTGGAAATTTTTGAAATAATGTAATAGTATGCCTGTATAATTCTAATTAATAACAACAAATGAACCGAAAGCTTACATTCTTACTCTGGCGCAAAGTCGCAGTTCGATTAGCCGCTGCGCCCCGACCACTGCTATTACTTGGTATTCTATCCATTTTAAAATGGCTTAAGTTCTTGGAATCTGGTCCATTAATTGAAATCTCCTCATCATAATAATTCATTTTAACGCCTGTTTATATAAATACAATTAATGTAATTACACCGCAGCAAAATACTTTTTAGACACCAGTAATTTTATTTGTTTGTTGCCACCGTATTTGTATATTATGTACCGTCGCCTTGACAACTTCCATTTGTTTATGTTTTGCCTTTAGCTTATAGAACAGCCATGCGTTTGAAAAGTGCTGTGTGTCAAATATTAGCTGTTTAATGATATCAAATAATTGTATTTAAGTATTGCGTTTTAAATATGTATAGCATTTTTTTAGCTTTCATAATTACAAACGCTTAAATTCGTTATATACTTCCTAACAGCACATCCGCTTTGACTGCCGCCTTTCCGTTGCATCAGTTTGCAGCTGGCAATGCTGTGGTAATGTCTGGTTAGTGACTAGTGTTACCGGATGAATTAAAGGCATTTATCTTTTGGATTTACTTTAATACAAATAAGCTGGTGTTTTAATTATGAAATTAATAATTACATAAAACAAAATAAACATAAATTCGTAAATTTTTATAATTTAATAAACTATTTAAAAAAAGTATTCGAAGTATTTTGTTCATAAGGGCCACTGGTGACTTACCGTTATAAACAAAAGACCTGTTGTTTAAAAACTAACGAAATATTTCAAGAAATCTTTTATTTGGTAGTCCTTTACGTCATTGTGTCACATTTTAAGCTTCGACAATGTTCGCGATTCGAAAATGATTAAAGGTTCATATAACTTTTCTCAACTGCTAACTAGCGTACGACAGCATGGTTCGATTATATTAAGTGGTTTCGATAGCCTTAAAACAACAGTTTATCAAAAGTGTTTTTATGCATAATGTCAAAATCAGCTGTTTAGCCTCGTTTTTATATTGATTCATAAAAACATTTGGCAAAGATTTCAACCGATAGAAATACATTTGTGTTTTGAGTGATAACTGAATATGAATATATTGTTATTCATATAAAATCATCAAAATATAAACAAATAAATGAGAAGAAAAACAAAAAATGGTTTTATTGACATTATGGATACAATTTTTTTCGTAAGAGGTAACACAACTTTATATAATTGAATGCACAACAGCTAGACATTTTTCACATTTGTTTTTATTTTGGCATATTAAGCTTTGAGACAATTTAAGTACATATACATAATATTAGTCATAGCTAATTAAAATTTCCAACTAAGCTTTTGCAAAGATATGGAAAATATTTCGTACACTTTTCAAACTGGCCGGCAACATCACTAGCATACTGTTTTCATCGCTATTCCAATATCAACGAATGCTAAGTGGTGTTATTGCGCGTTGTTGCTTTCGACACGTCGGACATCGGACATTGTGTACTGGAATTTGTTTAATTCGTGTTTATGTGGCGGTGAAAACTGAATTTGTTTTGAATTTTTGGTTTCGTAGCAAGCAAGTGTGCGATTATAAAATTTAATATTTCATATTCCGTAATTTATGTGTATACGGTTTAACAGTATTTAATAAGAATACGGTAACCCGGTATGCTTCATCGTTTCTAAAGATATTCTTAACTTCATATCTTTCGAATTAAGGTGCTTTCTGTGCGCGTAATTTATCGGCGATTAGCAAGTGTTAATTTTATGAAGTAGGAATATTATATTAGATATTAAAGAATCAAATAAACGCCATTTGACAAAAAAAAAAAAATTAATTAAATATACAATAATTAAATTAATTCCATATACTTGTATGTATGTGCAGTTTATCAAGTTAATGAAACTTCCTTAGAAAAGGGGAATAAAGTGAGTGTTTGTAAAATTAATTGAAAAAGTGTAATAATAATAGTACAAATAAAAGCCAGAATGTCACCATGAAGTAAAAATAAATCTTAAACTTAATTATAAGAAGTGAATTAATTGCCGCCATCCAAGAGTCGCAAGGCTACGATAACACGTTGATCACGGGGATATACCTATTTACCAGTAAGTACTGGATTTGGTGTTTGTGCCAACGCTTTTAGGTGAGCGAACTTTTTAAAAGATTCATGCCAAAGGATTAATGCACTGGTACTGGTACTTTGTTGTTGCGCACTCAGTAAAAAGCGAGTTAGACGACCAACACCGGCATTTTAAGTTGCATTGACAATAACAACAAAAGTGTGAAAAGTGCAAAAGCAGAAGCAAACACAAAAGGTGGGTAAATCAAAAGCACGACGACAAACACAAAAACTGTGTTTCCTTTCATTACTACCTGTGTATGTGTGTTTTAATATAAAAAGTGGGGATATAATCCCAAACGGGGGTATAACAGTTATAGGTACACACCTACACATATACAAATGTAGACTTACGTGAATAAAGTGTATTGGTGGAAGCGGGTAGCACCAAAAGCACAACAATTTAAAATTTTCCGAGCTTCCCCTTTAACCCCCTTTTTTTCGTTAATATTATTGGTGTGGTTGGTTAGTGTCGATTGGAAAGTCAAAAAGGGCAAACCAAAGAACAAATTTAATGTCATTGGAGCTCAGGAGATTCAAGCTTAAATGGATCCATTTAAAGCGAAAATGATAGTGTATTGTTATCAAATACTTAGTACTGAAAATTGTAACGCATATATCTATAAATGGTTAGATAGTTGCGTTGATACACATTTTTAAGCTAAGAGTTTTTGATGGCAGGACTGTTCATACACATGTTTTTATCTTTAGGAATATTTTGATTTTTATCTTTAAGTTGGTTTTGACTTAACAATATTTTTCATTGTTGAACTGGTAAATATTACATTTGGATAGTGCACTAAGAAAGTTGATGCATTATGGAGTAAATACACAATACTTGTAAGCGCTTGAGGTTTTAAAGCCTTAAAACATAGTGAAAAAAATATTTTTGAAAATCTTCACCAATTTTTTTTGTTTTACTAAAAATACATATATACAAGTTTATAAAATTTAAAGTAATAAGATTATCTTAAATTTTTTGCGTATAATTGTTTTGGAAAAATATTTATTTATTCTATGAAACAGATAATTCATAGTACGATGTTATATTATTCTACATGGACGGAAAAGTCTTTGATTTGACTAGAATAGTTTCATTATATTTCATTGAATCGTACTCAAGTTATTGGTCCCACCGAGACGCTACGTCTGATGCTGTAATGAAAGAAAGCGAATTTCATGTTTTAATTGACAATTTACAATTTTTTTTTGGTTATTCATGATGTGGAACCGTTGACGCCAACACTGAAATTGCCTTATTGGCCAAATGGTGCACCCTTTTCAGGAATACCACAGGAAATATTAACGCCAGAAACCAATACAGTAATTCTGTTGTGTGACTGTAACATGAGATTGAGTGAGTTAGTTAACATCATTACAACTCAAAAGAATGTTACTCCCGACTTTTTTCGAAATAAAAAGCTTTGCGCGAGATGGCTGCTGCATTTTTTTTAAATATCGCTTGTGGCAATGGCTGAGACGTGGATACAGCATTACACACCAGAGTCCAATTGGAAGTCCATTGAGTTGCTATATTAGAAGTTGTTCAAACTGCCCAAAAATACTGGCGTCGAGCGATCATTCGGTTATAGCCAGCAATTTTTGGGATTCACATAATTTTCATCATCGTAGGGATCGTAATTTCGCCATATCGTTAGGTTAATGACTTTTCGGCCCATGTTGTATTGATAAAGAAGAAAAAAATATATATATTTAATCTACGGTGCCGTCTCGCATTATGAGAACTTCGAACACTTTAGCTACTTAAAGCTTATCTTAAAAACAAACAAAAGAAGAGCAACTAAAAAATATGCAAAAATACTAGGCGAAAGCAAAAGGTCATAAGAAAAATATGTACACATACAGCAGGACAACACGCCTTTCAATTTTGTTGAGCATAAGCAACCAACATAACATAGCCAAGGCAGCTCAATAGATGCAAGGTGATGGCAACGTTGCGAGTAAAGTCTTTATTTGTTTTGACTGTTTCGCTATTATTCATATTGCTTTTATTATTCTTTCCATTTATTGTCATGCTTGGCTATTTCGTTTAGTCTATTTTTGTGCATTTTTGTATTCCTAAGGATATGATAAGCATCTTATGCTACTTTGAAATAACACATTTTTATTTTGCACTCAACTTTTCACACAACCTGTGTGCAGTAGTCTGCTCTCCTGCTTTCACTAGACGCTGTTCTCAGCATCCGGTAAGACTTTCACTTTAGTTGAACTTGATTATTGTCGCAACCAAGGAAACAAGCGGTACAAACGGCGAGAGTGGCACTTAAGCGAACAATGAGCTCGGAAGAGGCACTCACGCATACGCTGGATATACTCAACAGCCCTTATCATATTTTTACAAACACATACTGAGGCATAAAAAGAAAAGCACAGGATACCCACCTAGCGAAACCGGATGTGTGGAGTAGGAAGGAAGCAACGAATAGCAATGAAATAATGCCTTGGGCATAACTTGGCACGCTGCTTTTACCCTCCAACTGCTGCAATGTAGTCTATTTTTAGGCGTATATGATAGCTACTATGATACACTGAACCGTTATACACAGTTCAAACACTTAGTTACAAATAAGAAGCATATGCAAGCAAATATTACAAAAGAAAAACAATTGGGCAAACAATTGATGTCGCCTGCTGGTCAACACTGGTGCACGCCTTTGAAGAGGCAATACCCAAACAAGTTTCAGCAACAAGAAATTTCGTTACGCGTGCGAATAAACAAGCGGCCGAAAGAAAACAGTTTGGCTTAATTTACGCTCAAATAATATACGCAAATACTAAGAACGGTCATAACAACAATAACTGTAAAGCCGAATAAGAAAAATATACAAATAATAAAAAGTAGAATAAATAGGGCGGCGTTGCGTTAAAATTTCAAACACCCGAGTTGACAGCATTTCAGCTGCTTTTCTTGCCCACCGCAGCCGATAAGCAAATAAAAGAAAGCTTACTTTCAGGCTATTTTACCATGTTAGATAAGCCTGCTGTCAAAAGGGGGAAAACAGCGTACGATAGACGTTAAAATTCTCCATCCCCTGCTTCTCAGTTTTGGCTCCTCTTTATGGCATGAAAGTGAAAGGCTCACAAACTGTAGCAGGCGCTTATATGTTCTGAAAAAATATTGTGTATCCAAACCACTGTAAATAAAAATACAATGAAATAAAATTGTCTAAGATAAACAACGCAGACTTAACTAAGGCGCAGCGCTCTGAAATAGCCAAACCAAGAATAAATAAAAGTTTAAGTACTTTTATTGCATGAAAGGATGCTCCAAACGTCTGTCGGTATTGAGAATACTACGGATTAACATAATGAAAGTAATTGTGGCATGTGATAAGCCGTTGGCGAGACATAGATTCGTGTATGACTAATGTAAGAGATAGCTAATGAAATCTAACAGTTATTTTAATGAGAAACCATAAGCTTTGCTTAAGTTGTGTCGTATCCCTCTAAGTGTCTCATCGCTAGTCAGTTAAAAAACAGCATGGGCAATCATTTGGTCTACTACAAGGTTTTCATTACTCGAAATCGTGATACAACTTTTTATTATTGACTCCTTTTTTTGGAAGCATACGACCAACCTAATAAATAAAAAAAATTGAAATAAGTGATCTTCTCTATTTGGCAACAACGTTTATAACTTTAATTTTAAACGATTTTGAGAATAAATTTACCGGAGAGTGTTTTACTAACTCATTCTCATCTGTAAAAGTGCACTAGCCATTCGAGTTCATTTGAAAAAATAACCATTTTTACCAACCATACCACTTTCTTCAATCTGAGCACCGATTGGTTCAATAATTGATTACAAAAATTAGCAGTAAATTGTAATAATAAGAAAAAAATCGTAAGTAGCTTTCTAGATAATGTATCTGTAAAGCTACAGTTAGACTATCGAATGGATAAGTGCGCTAGTTTCCGGCAACTGTGGTCGTCAGATTTGAAAAAAATACGTGTTAAAAATTTTACGTAAAGCTTAATGACCTGTATGTTTGAACATTACAGTGGCTTGGACAGGGATATTTGTTTTCCTAGCTTACCTATTGAGTAATGTTTTTAGAACCCCAAAGTGTAGCTTAAGCCAAAAAGATAATAAATTTAAACTGGACGGCTGTAGTCGTAGTAGTTTTTGGCAAGTCTGAACTAATTCGGTTTGTTGTGCTTGATTTTTGAAAATTATTCTCGGGTCGAGCTGAGTCGATTTAGCCAAGTCAGTCCGTCTGTTTGTATATACGCGAACTAGTCCCTCAGTTTTTGAGATATCGATCTGAAATTTTGTACACGTCTTTTTCTCCCCAAGCTGCTCATTTGTCGGAAGCGCCGATATCAGACCACTATAGCATATAGCTGAACAATAGGAATTAAGTGCTGGTATGGACAATTCTTTAATTTGACAAGGTATCTTCACGAAATTTAACACGGTTTATTGTCTAAGGCAACGGTGTAATCTCGGATGAAATTGTTCAGACCAGATCCCTATGCCATACAAACTGACAGATCAAAATCAAGTTCTTTTATAGAATCTTTTGTATTTTTGACGGGTATTACAGCTTCGTTGCAACCGAAGTTAACATTTTTGTACTCTCGCAACCTGTTGCTACAGAGTATAATAGTTTGGTTCACCTAACTGTTGTTTGTATCACCTAAAACTAATCGAGTTAGATATAGGGTTATGTATGTATAAATGATCAGGATGAAGTGACGAGTTGAAATCCGGGTGACTGTCTGTCCGTCCGTCCGTCCGTGCAAGCTCTACTTTGAGTAAAAATTGAGATATCTTCATGAAACTTGGTAGACATGTTTCTTGATACCGTGAGACGGTTGGTATTGCAGATGGGCGTAATCGCACCACTGCCACGCCCACAAAATGCCATTATTCAAAAACAAGTAAATTGCCATAACTAAGCTCCACAACAAGATACAAGACTCTTATTTGGTATACAGGATTACAATAGGGAGGGGCATCTGCGGTTAAAATTTTTTTTTTAAAGTGGGCGTGGTCCCGCCGCTAATAGTTTTAATGTGCATATCTCCTAACCCGCTAATGCAATAATAACAAAATTCACTGGAAGCAATTGTATTTAGCACTTCTATTGACGGTGTGAAAATGGGTGAAATCGCGTGGCAAATCCGCCCACTCCCCATATAACGGTACTGTTAAAAACTACTAAAAGCGCG